TGGGATCCATCCATGCGCCCCCAAGGAGCATGACCCTCGCCCCACTTAGGGAGCCTACATTTCTTCCTCAGATTCCATTTCTCTTTTACCCATTCTTGACTTTTTTCTTCATTAGCATTTAATGTCAATCATGCTGTATTTGACAGTCTCTGGAAAAGTTTTCTACTTTTGAGCGACAGGCTTTGCGAGGCAGGAAAGAAGGAATAAGCTTTCAACTTGCACAGCGGCCAGTGGTGGGGAGCTCCCTGGACCGCAGCTAGTTCATTTCCATTTCTTTCTGAAAGTTAGGCTTACTTGATTTCCAGATGAGGAGTGAGTGCAATAGGAAAGATGGAAAGGCAGCCTTTTTGGAGCCCTGGAGGTTTCAAATGTTTGTGACCCAAAAGGGGGGTTAGGGTTGGCAAATAATAAAGAAACCAGCAAAGCCTACTTCCTTCGTCATCATTATCAAGACACCATCATTTCGAGAGCAGTCGTTCTGGATTCTCACCGCGGTCCTTACAAACAAGAGGAAAACCCTTCCCGGGGTTTCCACAGCACTGCCAACAAGTTCATCGTTACCATTATTTTGGATACCCCCCCCCACCACCACCACAAAGATGGAAATGAATTCATTAACTTACACGGCCATTTTGATCTGAAAAATGGTTTATTGTCTCCTATTTAAAATCTAAAAATTCTACTGGGCTACCAGACCTAGAACTTAATGAGATTCTCTTGTAACGTCTTAGTATTGATGGTGGATACCGGGGTAGTGGCTCAGGAGGCGTTTGGGGGCACAGGTCTACCATATGCACACAGTCTTCTAGAAAAACCCCATATGCAATAAATATAAGAAAATATGCAGATTTTTAAGAAGTAATGAAAGCAGATCAATGATTTCCTCGGGGCGGCAGATGGGAGGGGGCAGGGGAGGGATGATAAAGGGGCAGAGGAAATGTTTGGTGGCGATGGATTTCATTATTGTGATTGTTGTGATGGTGTCAAGAGTGTACATATATGTCAAAATGTATCCAGTTACTCATTCATATATGTAAAGTTTATGCCAGCTCTATCTCAGTAAGCTGGAAATGACTGAAAAAAGTTTCTAGCAACTACATCGTTCCCTAAAGGAATAACTGGATGACGATAAATAGGGCGTGTGGGGAAATTGGTGCCTAAGATAAAAGAAGTAATGGTTTTAGCATTCTTCTGTTTAACAGTATTAAATTGTCGCTTACCTTACTAATTTAAAGTAAGAAGAAACAGGCGGACTAAAATAGAATTATACCTTATTTTCTGAAAACTTTAGATTCCTTTTATCACTATTGCCCTAAATTTATATTTAGAAGGAAGCGTAATGGGAAAAAACTTGCAGAAACTAAGAAATTCTTGTTTTATGTTTTTTTTTCCTACCAATCCGAAGAAACCAAGGAAACGAATAATATGTAATTAGGGGGCAATTTTAAATCCATGAACACTTAATAGTGTCCCACAGAGGCTAAATGCAGGGGTTCCCTGCAACTGTGCATAAATATTGCATATTTTCCCCATACTCAATGACACAGTGCAAAAGAATAGACATGTGTATCCCTGCCCCTCGCTATGTTAGGACCAGAGAAAGGAGAAAAATGATGGTGGTTTTGGAAAACAAAAGGATGCATGTAACAGACAGGAAACTGCCCCACGTAATCATGGGGCTTCATTTGCTCCGAATGTTGGGCATGCGGCTTCATCACAAAAATTTTTAAAGAATTCTGTCTTTAGATCTCATTTTGAAAGAATTAAAGCTAACCCCTTCTTAAGCAATTTACCATTTTCTCTAACAGCAAAGGCTGCAATGAGGGTCTTACAGTTCAGTCACATAGGTGCGTTCTCAGTTGTCTTCCCCAAAGAACCTATGTAAGGTGCGTTCTCATAGTCATGTGTTAAACCTAAACAAAGTTAGGCTTAACAGAATGATTCATGCAATGTATGCTTTAAATGTATCAATTTTACAAAAGAAGTTCAGTTAAAACCTAGAGGGTTTGATCATGTTTTGATAAGCGGTATTTCCAAATGATTGGGAAGCTTTTTGAAAACAAAAAAAAATAACCCCAACAAAACCAAAAATACTTTAATCTTAGCTCCAATTACATTTTTTTCCATCTTTCCCCCAAAAGAACATTTCTAAAGCACAAGATAGATGCATAATTGTTTAATTAGATACATTATATATATCCTGAACATAATGGCTCCCATAGAAATAAACTGGTATTTTGTACACAAACTTTATTTACTGTGCCACATTCATACTATAACGACTTGAGCCAAGTGCAAACATTTATTACACCCCCTGGTGTGTGAGGAGCTCTGCTCCCCCAAACACTTCATTATCTAGGATGACAGGGAACAAGATTAGACAAGATGGATAATTAATTTTTGTAATAACAAAATTATACATTAGATTATGATTATAAAGTCTTCTTCAGCCACTAAGCAAACCATTGATCAGGTTCCTCTTTAATCCCTAACAATTGGTTAGTGGGATTGCTGAAAGGCACCGGGACCAGAATGATGGAAGAGGAGCAAAAGTTTGGAAAATCAGCAACCTGGCATCCTTTGTATTGACAGCCCCTTGGTTTCTCTTCCTCGGAAAATACATTTGGTAGTTTTTATGTCACATGTAATTGATAGGCAATATTAAAAGGTATCTTAAATGAGGTTTATTTTTACAACTGCCTGGAAATTATGGGGTACTTGTAAGTAACACATGAAAAATAATGACTTAATTAAAAAAAAAAAAAACAATAACAGCAAAATCTGAGAGTAAATCTGCACCGTGGGTGGCAGCATATGGAAACAAAATAATTAGTTTCTGGTCGGCCTCTGTGAGTGCTGGTGTGGGCCGTTGACCTGCTCAGTCCAGCCACGTCCACAAGACCATCATCACTTATTACTGCTTTCCTTAGTGACCAGCTCAGAAAGATGAAGGAGTTGATGAATAAATCACAGGGGAGGTATGAAGACATATTAAGTCTTCCTCTAGTTTAGATTGTTTGAGGGAAAGACAAATAAGAAAAGTACCCTTGAAACAAAGAGGCTCATATAAAATTCTAAGACATAAGTCAGGTTTTATCAGGAATGATTTAATATTTATTCTATCCTTTTGCTGTTTAAACTAGTCTCAAAAGCCCCCAAATTATGCGGATGAAAATCCCAAAAGAGTAAGTCTCACTATTCTAAAACCGTGGTATCAATCAAAAGTTAAAAGAAAGGAGGGTGGGGCAGGGGGTGGGTGGCGAGGGATGAGACCATTACATGGGCACGAATACTTAATAGGGAGATTTGTGAATCAGGTATTATAGGAATATTATCTAAAACTTAACTGAAGGCTTGAATTAGGAGTCTAATCAGGATATCTGGATCTCAAAAGAGATTCTAAATCTGGGATATTTTTAAATGTAGTGCTTTTCATTAATGTGACATTCTTCTCATTCTCATCTTGAAATCCTAATCAGAGTTTCAGGTTAGCTCTGACCAACATTTACCTACTTGATTTGTAGCTTGAACTTATCTAGTGAAGGTCCTTTCTAGTAGTTACTCTTTTTCTCAATTTCAGCCCGAATGCCAGGTACGGTAGTTGCTTCCCTGATGGGCCCTGGGTCCTCTTTCAGCTGTCTGACTGATACACCCATGGTCACCTAATGCCTCACCTTCCTGCTTCTCTGTTCGAGTACCTTTGCTTTGCAGAATTCTCTTCTTATTTTTAGGCTACATATTTTGAGACTGTTCAGGGAAGTGCTAGTAAGTACAGACCAGAACCCCTTTAAATAGTATTTAAAGCTTTACCGACTGTGGGAGAACAGACTTCTGTGGGAAAGACAACTGAATTCTAATTAAACTCTAATTAAAATTAAAGGCATGTATCTCAGGATGCAGATAAAAAGACGACGAATGCACAGAAAAAAGTCAGTAACAAGGAAATAATTTTACTACCTCGAGGCAAGCCACCTACAGATTTAAAATGGGAATTAAAGGCATTGAGAATCCTAGGGAGGCTGTTGCTCCAGTGGAATGCTTACATCTGGGGATGGATTAGGGAGCTTACTTTTGAAAAGGAAATTCCACTTTAAACCCTACGGTACACATAACGTAGGGCCTCAGATACAAGGAGGGGGATGAGTTTCAGGACACACTGCTCCACCTAGTGGAGACTCCAGAGTTTTCCCTTCCGCTCTCCGCGGCAGCTGGGGTTTGAGAGTGGGTTGGCTATTAATTAGGAACGCCTGGCTGAGGAGAAAGAACACTAAAATCAACAGCTCATAACAAAATGTAAATGCCAATAACCTTGTTATCAGAGTTTAAAATAGCACTTAAAATCTGATGGTAAGACTCTAAGAATAAAATATATGTACTTTTATAATTCTCTAGGAAAAACTCTGAAGAGATTTTTTTTTTTTAAACATACAGGCATTTATATAGTCATCTACGTGCAGAAACTCAGGAACACTGTGCTCGCTTTGGCAGCACATATACTAAAATTAGAAACTCAGAAACACTGATGCAAGTTTCTTACAAAAGCCTCTGTATATTGGAAGAAAAAACAAATCCTGAAGTATGCAAAGCGTATTTCTGCCCCTCCCCCCTGCTTTTGTTGGGATGGATAAATTCCTTAGCTTATTTTATTATCTCTGCCAATAGCAAGGCAAATGCCTAATACGTCGTTACGTATCATACAGAATCACTTGATGAAAATATAAAATATGATTTTGCATAGAACTCATTTAAACAATGCAAATAAGCTACTAGTAGTCTCGCTTCTGTTCCCAGTGGGTTTCCGCGAGTGCCCACGGCCGGGGCCCAGGACAGAGATGCGGGTTACATTGTGCTCCACTCAGAAATAGTTCCGTTTACAGTGACTCCTAAGCCCACGCAGACATTCCACATGCTTTCTGCTATTTCCGTCTACGGTTTTAACACTGATGCCAAGTGTTCAAATCAAATACAGATATTGCCAAAGAATAGGGCACACTGTGAGATTAGGCGGAAGAGGGTTTATTTTCTGGGCGCAGGACAGGAACTTGACGAGCAATGTGAATACAGAGATCTACTGAGCACACCTTTTCCTTCTTGCCCTTCAGAGAGAGGAGACAGTCACCAGCATATCAAAGTAAAGCGTGTGTAGTTTACTTTCTTAAAATCCACTTACGTTAGTCTCATAATTGTTCTGAGCCCAGAAAGTGAATCATGCCGTGATTCAAAAGAACTGTCCCTCACATAAACCTATGAGCACACATTTAAAAAATGATTTATTGTACATCTTTGCATTTCTTAAGGCATGAACAATGGCGTACAGATGGAACAGGGTTCTGAGGAGTATCACATCTTTTTTGACAAGGTCAGCACAAGTACACCACATCAAACGGACACACTCGAAGTCCGAGCTGACCAAGTGCCGTGGTACAGGAGCTTCTAGATGCGGGGATGGTGCTTCCAGACAAAGGACCAAAAGCGTGGTTTATATGTCATGTTGCTTTAAACTCTCTGGATCAGCTTTAAGCACCAGTGACAGTTTGTTTTCTTTACAAACACTTCAGACTTTGGATTTGATATTCTCCTTTTATTCTGCTTTTCAAGGAGGGCGTGGGTGTTTTTTAAGGGATATGGTTGCAGCAAAACAGAAAGGATCCAAAAGTGGTTAGGGGCCTTGTCTAATGCACTTCTGAAAGTCCATTATAAAGATGAATAGAAAAGCAAACGGTCGGTTTTCAGTCGACCCAGAAACCACGCGGAGCTCTAGGAAACATAATTGTGCATAGTTATTTATTCATTCAGAGCATGATATGTTTGGCTAGCTCTACATTCTCAGTTTACCAAAGAACAGGGCTGTCTACTTTGCTAAACCCAGGGTCCTTTCGCAGCTCCCAGTAGGTATCATTAGAAACCCAGGCTTCTCTTTGATTGGCATCAATGACTTTTCTGTGGAAATACAAAAATCAACATTAGACACAAATGACGTCAAGGTGGCCTGGTCATTGGACCCGCTCCCGTAGACAGGATGTGTATGCATAAGGGGTACTTTGTAAGTCAGTTAGTGTCCTATCTGCTTATTGATGACTTGACTATTTTTTTTAAGATTTTATTTATTTGTCAGAGAGAGAGAGAGAGAGCGCGCGCATGCACACAAGCAGGGGGAACAGCAGGCAGAGGGAGGAGCAGGCTTCCCGCTGAGCATGGAGCCCGATGTGGGACTTTATCCCAGGACCCTGGGATCATGACCCGAGCCAAAGGCAGTCCCTTAACTGACTGAGCCACCCAGGTGCCCCTGACTTGACTATTTTGACCAAAAACAAAGTCCTTTTTGTTTGTGTTGCTTATTTGAAATAGGAGTGGATGGGGTCATGGGGAGAGGGAAAAGGGGCACAAATAAATCACTTCTAGGCAAGGCTAGAAAGTGAACTGCCCCCCAAAAAAGCAGGTACAGGGCACCTAGGTGGCACAGTCGCTGACTCTCGATTTCGACTCAGGTCGTGATCTCAGGGTTGTGAGATGGAGCCCCGCACTGGGCTCCACGCTCAGTGTGGAGTCTGCTCTGGATTCTTTCTCTCACTCTCTCTCCCTCTGCCCCTCCCCCCATATGCTCTCTCTCAAATAAATCTTTACCAAAAGAAAAAAAAAAAAAAGCACGTACAAGTTTTGTACTAAGAGCTTCAGGCCCCAGACCCACAAGAATAGTCTCTGCTTCACTTGCAGGGAAGGGTATGCAACCACAGTAGCTCCATGAGGCCCTGCGTGCTCCACGCCCAGGGTGCACTTTCAACAGCTAAAGGGCAAGGCCGCATTCCTCCCCAGGGCAGTCACGAGATGGCGATTCGAAAGGACATGAGGTTATTCTGAGCTGATGTGTCCTGGCTCTGGAGGGTAACAGATGGATTTGGAAAATACAGCTTCTTCATCTGTGTGATGTATCTATAATCCTACAAATAATCCTGTAATAATCACCCATGATGATCCCACAGAAGGGCCAAATCTGAATGACACAAGCCCCGTATGACAGAAATAAAATTAAATACTACTGAAGCCAGGATGACCTTGCGGGCAGTGGGGTCCCACTGTGGCCTTGAGTTGAGGGGGTGGAAAGAAGTTTCTACCATTCTCAATGGTATAGCTGAAGTACAAAGAGCATTCTGTGCAAGGCCCTCACCCTTTTTGCTGCCCACGAAAAGAAGAGCTGTGGAGGAGAATTGATTTGTGTGGTAACAAACTGTTCACAAGTGCAAAGTCTGGTTCAATACTTTCACTACCAAAACCAAAGTTACCCGAATCAGTTTAATTTTAAGCTCCCTGGACACTAAACTATCCCTCATTTTCCCTTTACACCTGGAGTTTCTCATGGCTGGTGGCAATCATCTGCAAAACATGAACTTGTTATAGGAATGAACTGACTTACTTAAAAAATTTTGGTATATGTTCAAGGTTGTTTTCTTCCATGTAGCGCCTTCGAGATCTCTGGAGTTCCTCCACTCTTTGTTTCTCTGCGGCCGCAGCTTCTAAATTTCCTTCTTCCAAAAATCTAAGCAGAACACAGTTATCCCTCTAATACACCATCCTCTTTGCTGGGAAAAAAATAATCTCGTCTTGTATAAAATTACCTTCTAGTTGCTGAGAACATAACACGGTGAACAGTCATACTCGGATAATGTGCCCTTGCTCCCACCCCAGGCCATGCTACCTCTGTCTGTCTGCCCACCAATAACATACTTGCTGTGTATGTCAACTGCATTACTGGGTACAGCAATGTGAAGCTAGGGGTGGAAGGCGGGTAGTTTGGCCTTGGAGACTCTTCTGTGCTCTCTTGGGTTCTGTAACTTGAGATTTTCAGGATGATGGGAGAGTCCAGGCTCAGGACAATATGAAGTACGGGGTTGAGCTCCTTTTCCATATTATCGGAAAAACACTTGGTAAAGGCCAGAAGAGGGAGGATGGTAGCTGGCTGTTCTCCACCTACTTTTAGAACAGACTGAGAGGGAAGGAGTTTTCTCCTGTTTTATCGAAGAGAGTAAAACTGGTGACAAAAAGAGAATCTAACACCGGGGGAAATTACAAAAGGCTGCAAAAAAGGAAATGAATCATAAATGAAATTCAGGAAGGGAATACTGGAATAGAATTGAGAAAGAAAAAGCAGACCTAGTGGGGATTTGCAAAACCTATATTTAAATGTCAAAATGAGAGCAAAGAACAGGGATTCAATGTGATGCCCATGGGAAGTTTGTTGACACACTGGAATGTCAGACCGTGAGACCTCATGTTCTGGGGGCAGGGGAAGTGTAAGAGGACTGAATAGTAGGACATTCAGCACTGGAATTTTTTGGCAGAAAACACATAAAGCCACAGATACACTGGAAACAGAAAATGATCTCAGGTGGAATTTGTGTGGCATATAGAATTTTTGGAAAAAGTAAAATTAACTCTGTCGGAATGGACAACATGCATACAGAACTATATAAGAATAATAAAAAATAAGAATCAGAAGGTATTAAAGGGACTACATTTTGAGTACACCTCACATCCCATGGGATCAAAACCACGCTGGACAAACTCCGGACTTGGCTTGGAGCATTTCTAGATGTTCCTGTAACTTATCTTCTTATTCTTCAGGTTAAAAGATAGTCCATGTGACAGAGTAGTAGAAGTAAAGAGGTGAAAACCCTGGAGGAGGTTTTAGTGGAGCAGAGTTCACAAATTTGCACACTTCTGGTGAATTTGGGGTTGGGGGGCAGGGACCTTTTGTTAAGAACTGTGTTATCTTCTGTGGGAAACTTTGTTAAGCTAAACATCTGTTACGATCACCCAAGAATACCGTCTTAGCTAGGGTAGAAGGCTCCAGTGGTGCGGAGTGAATAAGGGAATGAGGGAATTCACGAATGATTCCATGAATAAATAAATGAGGGTGGTGAAAATAAACTTCGGTGGCATCCGTAGGGCCATGCCATGATCTAGTGTCCATTTCAAACATCATTGCCAGGCTCACCTCTGATCTGGCCGGAATCGGGCATCTGTCGGTGGAAGGAGATCTTTCAGGACAGGATCTAACTCATTGAGCTCGATAGCAAACCTCGTGAAGCCATAGTAGAGCTCATAGTTGGTTGGCATGGAACCTGGAATAATGCCCATAAACCACAGTGAGTGGCAGAGAGGTTTAAGGAAGCCTGCAGAAGGTGACTTAACCCAAGTGCTTAACTAATATCCACACGAATACTAAATTTGTAGTCAGAAAAATCAGATTAAGATTTTTCTTAGGCAGATTAAATTGGTTGTGTTTGGCTAGATAGGAAACTTTGTGTTACTTATCAGAACTGGTTGATTCATATATTTAATGAAACCCAGCCTTTAAAATAAAACTTTGTACATAGAGTATTCTTTACTGGGTAAACAATGTCATCATTTTTTCCTCAAATATTCAACTGGGTAACTAAATGCCAGGGTGATTAACTATGAACATTAAGATATCACCAGAAACACAATTTACTTCCTTTTAGAAAAAGAAAAAGATGCAGATCTAAATTAATATTCACTGGCACTTTTTAACTAAACTCAAAGGCAGGATCTTTGTATGCTTTGCTCATTGATGTATTCCAAGCTCTTAGAGTAAAGCTTGATGCATAGTCATTACTCAAGAAATAGCTGCTGAATGAATGAACTAACCACTCTATCAGCAGGAAATTTAAATACTCATTGAGGTCTCTTAGAAAACCAACAACTAATTTTAAAGTTAGGACTTAACTGACAAAATTGCAATGAAAATAAGTACCCTGTGGACACTTGTTCTATTTACCCTTGATATTTAATTATTGCTAGTGTATTACCAGAACTCTCTTGATATCTTTTATTAAATGTCAACATATTGCAGCTTTTTGCTGCTCAAGTGAGAAGATCACTTATTCTGGTTAAGTTATTGACTTTGTGGATTATAGATGTTTGCACGTTTTTCCCTTGTTTTATTAGAACAGAGACTAGGGGCGCCTGGGTGGCTCAGTTGTTAAGCGTCTGCCTTCGGCTCAGGTCATGATCCTAGGGTCCTGGGATCGAGCCCCACATCGGGCTCCCTGCTCGGTGGGAAGCCTGCTTCTCCCTCTCCCACTCCCCCTGCTTGTGTTCCCTCTCTCGCTGTGTCTCTCTCTATCAAATAAATAAAATCTAAAAAAAAAAAAAAAAAAAAAGAACAGAGACTAAATGAGTAAGGATTTGTGTTTATATAGTTCAATTGCCTAAACTCTTTAAAAACATACCTAGCTTTTGAAGGTAGGCATTACATTTAGAATGACATCACATGAAGCCTCATCTCTGACCACATGTCAGATTTGGCCTAAATTTTATAATTCCTTATTATCAAAAGTTGGGATTCACCTCATTTGTATGTTAAGTAAAAAATATAACCATGCTTAACTTAAGCATCTATGTTTTTATTTTTTATTTTTTATTTTATTTTTAATTTTTTTTAAGCATCTATGTTTTTAATCTCACTATGAAAGAAAGCATATGGTGAACTGCATGAGATGTGACATTCCCGTCCTTCTGTCACTCCAGGTGCCCTCCAGACACAAGATGCTCACACCCATCTCACCTGGTCTCCAGATGCACTTTGCAGAGGGGGCCACGCCACAGTAGAGCCCTTCATGCCACTTCCCGAAGAGCCGGTGCACCACCTTCCCCTCCTGATCCATTATGACCCCCTGGACCTCATTCACATTAGAATTCCAATAATTCACCTGCAAAAACCAAACCCCAATGAAAACATCCAATCTGTTTCATAACACTAATCCCTCCAATTTCCAAATGGAAGACATTCTTAAATTTGAAGTCGCTCATTCAAACCACTTCCAGAAATCTCTCTCAAAAGGTTTTATATGAAAGGTTGGCTTTCCAAGTGTTAGTGGGCTTAACTTTAAAGAGAGAGATCAGCTCTACTCTACGCTAGGGCAGAAAAGGCTCAGCTTCTCTCCTAATAACCTAGTATTAACTTACCGGTTGGTAATTTCTTCCTTAGATGCCCCCGTCTCAAATTTCCCCCTCGTTCATGGATCTTAATGAGTTTCAGTGGGCCGTGCTGTAGAAGTCACTTGGGAAGTAATTTTCATAGTGCCTGTAAATGGCTAAATTTCATGAGGAAAACCCTGCTCTGGCCCTCTTCTAGCCATACTTCTCCCTAGGAGATGAGAAGTCTGTGGGCATTTACCCATCTGGATCCCATGGCCCCTTCTAGATCAGGTCCTAGAATTCCCTTTCCCAACCACTCTAAGCTTCTTCCACTTTCTTTGGATTCATCCTTCCAAAGGACAGACCGCCCACCACCAGGGTGTGATGAGGCCTGAGGGGCGGCCAGGGGTGGCCGTCTGAGGCAGGTGTGGACAGAGCTTAGACGTTCCGCTGGACTGCCTTCCTACACGTGGGTGAGGCCCCCTGTGGGGCAGGACAGAGGCTGTCACAGGTGGGGAGAGGGCAGGAAGGCCATGAGTCAGGGCTGGCTCTCCTGCACTGCCGGGTTGCCAGCTCGGACTTCTAAAGTGCCCAACCTGGCCGCGCGGGCTTTGTTACAAAAGGAATATTTGTCGAAGTGAAAGAACAGAACGTAAGTCATGTGACAAACTGTAGGTTTGATCTACAAATTTTAAATATTTACACATATGAAAAAAAAAAAATATTTACACATATGGAATGGGGTCTCCATTTGTACTTTTGCCCTGAGCTCTGCAAATATTAGGGGCAGGACTAAATCGAAGCTTCCCATGGCCTGCAAAACTAAACGCACACATTGACTGTCATCACCCAACCAGAGCAAGTAATGAGCCTGGTCTTTCAGTTCTGAGCCACCTAATGAGTCCACAAGCAAAAAAAGGAAAATGGGAGAAACATCTTGAGTAAATTAAAGATCTTCAATTCCAACTAACATGACCTTCCAGTATGGTTTCAAAGGATTTCCCTAAGAAGAGAACGTTTTGAGTTTTAAGACTCCAATATGTTATCTGTTTCTGCCATAGTAGAATGAGATCAGGAGTAGAGTAGATTAAAAGGGCTGGTGGGGTTTCTGTACCACGATGAATTCAGGAGCACACCTAACCATGAGGGCGATAACCGTGTATTCCACTTTAGACCAGAGCGACTAAGGGAAAATGCTATTGCGTAGGCATTCTATCTCAGGAATCTTTTCTTGTTAATCAAGAGGATGCTTCTTCTTGAGCAAATTTGGACCATCATAGTGGCAGAGTTGGATAAGCTTATAGTGACTGGAAGTTATCATCCACATGCATCCTCAGAAATGACAAATGCATTATAATTAGCTCCCTAAAATAAGATCACTTGACTCTGTTGCAATCAAGCAGGAACAGAAATAGAAGCCAGAAGACTCACTTCAGGCAAGAAGTGTTTTCTGGAATTTTACTTAATGAATACTGACTGGCTGCTTAAAAAGAAAATCTTTAGAAAGAAGAGTATTTCTTCTGTTTTGAGATGGTGCCTTTTTTGACCTCCGCATGTTCGGAAGTCTGCATACCTTGAGTAACTCCACCAGTTGGTTCTGCTTTCTTATCTAAAACGTCCTCAAGGATCAATGATATGGGACAGACTCACTTGCTGTCGTTTAAGGTAACTTATATTTCTCCTTTACGAAGCATTTTATATTATTTTTTTCTTTACTGTTGTAGGATTATCATTTACCTTGACAAATGTGAGTTTGCAAATGCAAACACTGCTTTTGGTATTTCTAATGGTTACTTCTCCATAATGCTCTATCCACCTCCTCCCACTGAGAATGTTGTGTATGCACGTGGTGACTTTATTCCACACATAGCAATCTCCATACCTAGTGAAAAATACAATGTTGATTAAAAAACAATGAAGGTCACAAATATATAGTACCATTTCTATGACTGAGAATATTCTTTGGCCAAAACTTCCTTTTCCCTCGTTTTCCTCTAATTCCTCCAATTCCTTCCTTTTCCCTCAATTTCCTCTAATTTCCCTCATTTTCCTCTAATTGCTGAAAGTTTCTATGTAGTCAAGGACCCTCGTGATATGATTCATTCATTTAAGGAGCATTTCAGTGCTTTCTATAGTCCAGGTGCTAAAGCCACCAAGTTGAATAGGATCTGTCTCTTGCTCTCTTGGAGCCAACAGTATGGTAGGAGTAGACTGACATGGCAACAAATACTTGTAATAAAATGTGATGAGGAAATGTCATGAGAACACAGAAGGGGGAGTCCTTAGATCTGCCTGGAATGTGGGGGGAGTATCCAGGAAGACTTGCTGGAGAAGACTGGATTCAGTCTAAGCTTGGAGGAGGGATAGGAGGGCACTATAGGCCAGGGAAACACACTGACAAAGCCACAGAGGCCAGAATAGCACGATGCATCTGGGGGCCTGCCAGGGGTACGCCACATGTGAATGGGTGTAGCGGGTGGCCAGTCTGCAAAGGGAAGGCCTTCAACAATGCTCCGATGAGTCTGGATTCATACTGCAGGTAATGGGCCATCGTGGAAAGATTTGAGGGAGGAGATAGGCACGATAGGATGTGCCTTTAAGAAAGATTACCCTGAGGACATTGTTTCATACTCTGAATTAAGACCAAAAATGTGAATAATTCTTTGAAAAAAGACTAATGATCATAGATAGCACGTCTAATGGAAATTCTGGGTTACAGAAGTTACAGAGTTTCTGCCAAGGAATGAGGTGACATAGCTTCAGATCACCTTTAAGTTTGCAGATTATCTGTATTTTCAAATAAAATGTTATTTCAAATTAAAATAAAACACTTCTAAGTTCCTAAAAAAATTTATGAATTGGTATGATGCAGGCTCTCTACATACCTGGGAAAACTCTTTCTTCTCATGAGTTTGCAAATATTTAAAGTATATTTATACACAACTAATGAATCATTGAACACTACACCAAAAACTAATGATGTACTATATGTTGGCTAATTGAATTTAAACTAAAAAAAAAATAGTCTATTTTGTGGCCCTGGGAACTCTCCTCTCTCCCCACCTTCCTTCATATCCCATCCACCAGCAAATTCTGTCACTGAATAAACAAAAAGAAAACCAAACAACACCAACCAACTGAAGAAAGAAACAAAAACAATCAAGCCTTTGGCCTCAATGAAAACTTCAATTAATTTTTAAAAATTTATAGGCTATATCCTTTAGAAAAATACCATGAAAAGATTCTATCACTCTTCTTTAATAAACTAACTTAGACATTAAAAATAGTCCCTGGATCTAACATGAATTCAAAAGTGAAAATACATATTGTATAGAAAAGAAGTGGCTAAAAAGAGAACCTTTGCTCTAAAATGCAAACTAACATGGTACCTGGGACAGGCAGGTAGCTGGCATTGACTTGATGAATACAGGATATGAAGAGAGAAGCAGGGAGCTTTGATACATACCCTGAAGTGCTCATTTGCTTTTGTGGGGGTCCATTCTCAAAACTTTGGAGAAGTTAACAGAAGCTTTGGAAATGGATCACTGGCACCTTCTAGAGTTTCAAAGACCCATTTCTGATTTAAAAAGCAGGTAAGACACCAAAAGGAAGATGAAAGCAACCTACTTTGGAAGCATGACATTCAGTGTTCCAACAGGCAGGATTTCCATGGACTTCCCCCAGAACTTGTTTTTCCATCTGATATCTAAACAACATAGGCAGAGGAGAAGAAATATATATTCCATATCTAATCATTTAGTCTATAAAAACTAACATCTGTATTATACTCTACATTTCACAAAGAACTTTTACAATCAACAATTGATTCTATATTGTTGATTTAACATGTCATGTACCTGGGGATGGCCCAAAGTGAAAAAATTAACTGTGAACCAAAAAAAGCTACTATCTATGTTTCTCCAGAACTCATGTTCCATATTTGTTTCAACGAATAAAACTGGGAAAAGCTCAGAGCAGTATGTGTGTATGTGAATCCACATACACATATATACACAGATAATGTCTAAATAAATGTTGTTAAAAGTTTTAACTAAATGGTAGAAATAGTTAACATATATATTAAAAAAATAAGATGCACAGTAAAAATAATTGCAGTATGACAATACCATTGATTTATATACACACTGATTTGAAAAGTTATATGATTTGGGAGAACAGAGAAAACCAAACAAACAAAACCTCTAAATACAGAAGGGTAAGCAAAATTTATGAGAAAGTGAAATTAACAAACGTGTTCATACACTGGTTAAGACATGGCCCAGGGCTTAGTGTTTATCTCACATGATGGTTTTATGTTTTACTTGGGACACTCAGGTTTGCCTGTGCATTTGTAATAACCACTAGGTCCCATTTTGATGAACTAAGTAAGGGAGCTTAGTGCTATCTCCACAAAATTTCTGACACTTTGTTATGACCAAGAAATGATGTATTTTCGTATTTTGCAATAAAATACAGTCACAGTGCTCTATCATTTTGTGTGTTTGCAGACTGAGAAAGGGCATATGAGAAGAGATATTCTGTGATCAATGAAGCCCCTTCCAAACATGAAGGAACAATTTATACTTAATGGTTAAATGGACATACATGGTTGACCCTTGAGCAACACGGGTTGGAACTGCATGGGTTCACTCATAGGCAGATTTTTTTTGATAAATGAGGTAGAGTACTATAAATGTATTCTCTCTTCCTTATGATTTTCTTAATAACATTTTCTTTTCTCTAGCTTACTATTAGAATATAACATATAATACATATAACATACAAAATACGTGTTCACTGACGGTTTACACTTTATTGGTAAGGCTTCTGGTCAATGGTAGGCTATTACTAGTTAAGTTTTTGGTGAGTCAAAAGTAACACATGAATTTTAGACTGTGTGGGGGTCAGTACCCTAACCCCAGTTTTGTTCAAGAGTCAACTGTATATATTTTTCTTTCTAAAGGGATTTTGAAACTTGTAATTTTATGTGAGTTTGTAACATTCTGACTAAACAATGGGCACCGTACAAGTAGAGACTTCAATCCGAATCCCTGAGTCTCAGTGAGTTAAAGACCACAAATCAGCACAATGTTTACATATCTAAATAGACTGTGACCACAGATGATGTGTCACAGAATCTTCTTTCACGATTAAGATCTCCTTGCACACCCTCAAGAAGCAAGAAGGCAGCAGATAGAACCTCCATGTTATAGATGCAGTCAATGAGGCATAATGAGGTAAAATGATAGCCCTGAGCTGACACAGTTGGCACGGAGCTCGGCTGTCCCCAGGGCTTTGTTTCCTAGGTATACAATCTCATCTCCTGGATGACACGGTTTCATATTTAAACCAGGAAATCTAATTTCTCAAACTGAATTCCACACCAATTACTAACATTCTCTGAGCCCCAAAGGTAAAAATCTAACCTGAGCATAATGTTCCTTTAGAAACTAGAAACTGTTTCATAGGCTCGCCAATTGGATTTTGAAGTTATAACTGAAATACAAACCTTGCCAAAACACAAAATTCTTGGATTCACAGTGACAGGCAGAAATGGGTGGATGATGGCTAACCTGGTAATTAAAACAAAAGAGAAGGCAATGACATCAGAGTTAAAGCTTCCATAAATGATCATTTTTTTCCAACATACACTGGCTACCCCCAAATATAAACTAGTCAACACATCCATCTCTATTATTGAATTATTGTCAGAATCTTCCACTTTAAGACTTCATGCTTAAACTCAGAGAACTTATATATATTAACAGAGTTTTCTGTTAACTGGTATCATATCCCACTGCAAACAGTAGTTTATCAAAAAGCTGTTTCATCATCAACCTGTCCTCCTACAGTGTCTGCATAGAAACCTCCGTGTGTCCGATGGGACCTACCTGTTCTGAGAAAAATCTGAATCCCTTGTCCTCTCTAATGCATTCGTAAGTCTCCCCAAGGACAGGGTTGAATGGCTTACTTCCTGCTCTGAAATAGGTGGAGCAATATCCTGAAACTGCAAATGCAGCAATAAGAACCTGTTAAAACATTTAAGAAAGGAAAATAATATAGGAGAGACTACTTCCAGGTCTGTTTGTCCCTTATTTCTTGAGGTTTTACACACCCCTGTCCATGGGTGCTGATTTGATGGTGGTTGCTTTTTCTATTACCTGCACAGACTCTTCATAAACTCATGGGTTAAAAAATGAGTGAAAAAGAAGCAAAAGTCCTTGCATCTGAGGCCAAATATTCTTCATTCAGCTGTCACCCAGTTTCCCGAGTATCACAGAGCTCAGAGGTTCTGAAACCCAGTTTATAGGTTAGTCCTTTGCACAACTTAGCACCATGAGCAGGAGGCTTGTGGCTGCTGGTACTTTCGGGAGGGCAGTCCAGTTTTCCACAGTTGTGTGGAGTAGAGGCCAGGGCAAAGCACAAACAGGAGGTTCCTTTCTCTGACCCAAGTTCTTGAACACATGGGCTCTTGGCTTTCAAGAAAAGCTGCTAGGGCAAGGCTAGGCATGCCTTAAACCTGGAAGGAGTGTGATACCTTTACATCCTAACTTCAGAAATACTCATGACCAAAGATAGGTCACAAAGCACATATTGCCTATGGAGGTATCTGGAAATTTTGGGGCCCTGCTCAATTTGTGCAAATGAACTGTTTCCTCCTTCACCCATGCAGTGGAAATGTTATGCAGAAACCAAATATGCCATCCTAATGAATTGTGCCTTAGTCCACGTCTAGGGTTGACAACTCCCCGAAAGGTACTGCTCTGTTATGGATTACCATGCGCTCGTAGGGGTCGTCAGTTTCTGAAGCCTTGTCCAGAAGCTCACTGTATTCGATTTCCTCACAGAGATGCTGCAGGGTGTTGAGTGGCTCATTTAGCTCCACAGGCATAGAGACTTTAGACAAGTCTTTACCAATGTTGTTCCTCAAGATATTCCACAGGTTAATGTTACTGGTGTCGGGGCAGGGGGCTGGCAGGCATGTTCGACGGCCATTTCGGAAGGCTCCTCCTGTGAGCTCCCCATTCAAGACTGGAAGGGAGACAAAGACAAGAAGCACGATAAAAGATACTTCGCTTTTTTGATTTCATAGCATCTGGGAAGAAAATAATTCTTTCAAATACTTCTGGTTGTGATACATTTCTTAAGCCTCCATTATACTCTCTCAAGAGTGGAATTATTTCAACACACGGTTGCTTATACATGCACAAAACATCAATGTACAGTTTTTTTTTAACAAGGTATTACATATGCTCAAATATTATTCTAGAAAAGATAAGTCAAATTTTTAAAAATTAAATACATTTATTAAGAAAGACTCAAACTTCTGGTTTAAGCAAGAAGTAAAACTTTTTCATTTAAGCTTCTCCCTAACGGATTTTTCAACCATTTACCTTAACAGATTATACAAATATAAAATGTACTGAATGATCGGCTGCAAAAGGAACAATCAGTGAGGGGAGAGAATAGTTGTTCACTGAATCACCAGCGTTCTAACTTGGCAAGAAGACAGAGCAAGCTGGGAGCTCAAAGGATGCATACTTTGCCGAGAAATGTTGTCCGCAACACTGGTGTTGTCTTCAGATATATTATCACTCACGTCACTGATGTAAGACTCATCGTCTGAAGCCTAAAAAGGGGAAGAACATAGAAAGGATCAGAATTCTTGTTCAGTCTTGAAAGGTTAGGAAATCAAATGACTACAAACAAAACATTGCCCAAATAAGCAAAAGCACAGGTCACGGGGGGAAGTGTATTTGGCGTATGTGCAACGAACACTTGAGAGAGAGAGTGAGTCATGAGCCAGAATACAGCATGGCTGGAAAGCAGCCTTTGTGTTTAAGTAGCCCCCTGCCTTATCCAGGGTGGGGGTCTGGGGGAGGCCAGTACTTCATCAGAAGTATTTCAGTGCAATACAGTAAGAATGTACAAAAAAGGAGGCCTTATCCTCCCCTTAGAGGAATCAGGAGGGGCTGCCCAGAGTAAATAAAATTGGCACTGGGTGTTGGAGAGGTTTTTAGAAGGGGGAGAAGCACAGGAAGAAAGGAGAGTGTACAAAAACGCAGAGAAACATGAGAGGAACATTCCATTCTAGGAATGCTCAGAAGCTGAGTGTCTGAGACAGAGGGAGGGGTGAACAGGAAGAGGGTCTGACTCTGAAGGTCTTTTCATGTCAACATAAAGGGTTCCCGGGGTGCCTGGGTGGCTCAGTCGTTAAGCGTCTGTCTTCGGCTCAGGTCATGATCCTGGGGTCCTGGAATCGAGCCCCGCATCAGGCTCCCTGCTCGTCGGGAAGCCTGCTTCTCCCTCTCCCACTCCCCCTGCTTGTGTTCCCTCTCTCGCTGTCTCTCTCTGTCAAATAAATAAAATCTTAAAAAAAAAATAAAGTTGAGAAGAATTCCTATATTTAGGGAGAACAGTGATAGAATTATTGCATATATAAATGAATAATTGTAGTTTTGCTTTGCAGACTGAGCAAGTCTATAAAGATGGCAAATTGAGAATAAAATCTTGTTCTGATTCATGTTTTCCCACCGCAAATGGTTTCCAGTTCCTAATGACTGCAAAAGAGCCGACGGTAAAATCATCAGGTATCTGAGAGCCACCTTCTTAAGCTTGATAGAAAAAAAAAGTAAATCAAACTCTTCTACATGATTTCTCTTAAAAAAGCTAATCACACCAAATTATGTTAGAGGAGACAAATGCCTGTTCAAACCAAATTTATGTTGCATGCCTGTGTACTGTTTGAATTTATTAAGAAAACATTCATGTTTATCCTACAAAAAGCTATAAACAGTCTATTCTTCTTGAATTTCTCATCTCTCCCAAAGTAATATATGATAAAAAATGGTCTGATACCCATTTCCTTCTAAAATGGTCCATGTAGAATGTACAACAATTCCACAACGACAGTAGGCCCTGAGTAAGATCTATATTCCCATATGTGTGAGCAATAGCTAAGGCTGGCCCGTCTGGCTGTGGTCCATGCACATTATCCTGTATACAAAGTTAAGGCTCTGTAGTATTATAATAAAACAATTAACACATTCATTTTCTCCCCCTGGTCAAGAAGTCCTGAGGACAAATATTTCTCCTGAAGAGCTTAGGCATTCAAAAGAGTTCAGGGAATTTTTTTTTTTTTTCCCTAAATGTGACCAGGCATATAGCATTGTGGAAACAAGGTGATAGCAGAAGAAAGGAAGTAGATCATTCTGGAAGCAAAAATAGCATTTTTTTAAAGGAGCTGAACATCCATTAAATGAAGTGTGTTGGTAGATATCACATAGAGGGGATTTTTCTCTCACTCATGGAAAATGTTAATGTAAGACAGCTAATGCCCAGATGTTTCTCAGATTAATCATGTGTTAAAGTGCTACAAGCATTCCTTCATTCAGTTAGCAAATATTTGGCCCCTGGAAGGATCCAGAAGAAGAGAAATTGCAAGAGGCTGTAGCTGAGAGCAGAGATTAGATTATAAGGGTCTTTGTATGATGGCTAAGGAGTTTAGGTAGTTATCCTAAGGACACTGGGGAATAAGGACATGATCAGATTTGCATTTCAGAAGGATGAATCAGGCTGTCCAGTGGAAAATGGATTAAAGGGGCAAGAAGGGAGGCAGAGAAACCAGTAATGGGACTGGTCAGGTAATCCAGGGGGGAGATGATGGAGGACTGAATTGGAGTAGTGGCAGTGAAGCTGTAGGAAGATGTATGGACTTGGTAGGATGTAGGTGACAGACATTACAGAACCCAGTGAGTGAATCAGCGTGGGTGGCTGGTCCTAGTAAGGCAGGTGCGGTGAAGGACAATACCCAGGTATTTGATGTGAACACCTGGGCAGAAGAGCACCAGGATAAGCAATATGAGAAGTATGGGTAGGTTTCTCCCCACTTGGGGGTGTGGGTGTGGGTACGGGCTTTGCTGATTAATCCATTTTTGGACATGCCGAATGAGAGGTTCTGTGGAGTACCCAGGGGGCAATGTCTCACAGGTGGCTGGTTATGTGGATCCTGAGCTGACTCTTGCTCTCTCTTCAGACCCGTTTTCTCTTTGAGCTTTAGATCTGAATACCCAAACACTGGCCAGATAACTCCACTGAGAGGTCTGATCAACTCACAAAGCCTCCGGGTGAGTACATCATCTCCACACAACCCCTGTCCTTCCCTCCGCCACCAGGATCACTCTTTCCTCAGAGCTGGTACCACCACGCTGCCTGGACTTGTGCAATAACCCACGTCACGTCCCCTTCATTTCCGTATTGTCAGTGTCTGCTACGAGTGGCACTTGGGTCCCCAGCCAGTGTGCCTCCAAGGACTTAAAAATAGGGAAATTAGGTTGCTTTCAGAGAGACAGCTACAAAGTCATCATCTGATGGGTCAGAGCTCCAGTAACATGAAGCCAAATCTGACCGGAGCCTGACTGAACAGGATGAAGGACCGGCCAGCAACGGGAGGTCAAAGAAAAGAGAGTCAGAAAAGAAAATGCTGGTAGCATGTCTCTGGCATGATTGGCTCCCAAACACAAATACCGTGTCCATGTGGCACAGTATCCCTATAATGGAGACAAAAGAGTGGAGTTATGACATCCCGGCCCCCCAGGCTTTAGTTCACTCAAGTCACTGTTCCTGCTCCTGTTCCTTGCTCACCAAGCAACCTCCTGACTAGAGCTAGGCTTCCCATGCAGGTGGGCCTTAGGAAAAGAGACACGAATCAGCAAGCATAATTATTTTGTCCATCTGATAGCATCTGACCAATTATCATTATGAATAATTAAACTAGTACCCCGGCTTGTACCCGGGAGTCTCTGTGAATCGGTAAACATAGGACCACGGATTGGAGAGGCAGGTGCGTGGCTTGGTGTGGTAACAAATTCAGTACGCGATACAAGAATGCTATTTTACCTCTCCCCCATTATAAAAGTGGTATGTGGTCATTATTTCTTTCTTTCTCCACTTATTTTTGTTTCTAAAATCCCTCATAATTTCAAACATCCAAAAACAACTACAACTAATTATCAGGATGTTTCCTTCCAATCTATTTTCTATGCATATGGAAATAACATTCAGCAACTATTTCATTTCCTTTTTGTAAAAATGCAGTACAGATTTGCAACCTCAAATGACAAAATTTTTAATCAACTGTGTGGGAAGGAGTTTTGGCTGCTTCTCCCAAGCCGAAAGAAAGAAAGAAAGAAAGAAAGAAAGAAAGAAAGAAAGAAAGAAAGAAAGAAAGAAAGAAAGAAAAGAAAGAAAGAAAAGAAAAAGAAAATTCTAAGTATGCTTGACTAAATTTCAGTAAAAGAATCAATTTCTGCAACCTGATCAATGAAGATTCCCAGCTTCCAAGACCTAGCCAAGACTTATGAGCATGAAGAACAATCCAAAAAATCTTTATGGGTACAAACTTCCAATTATAAAATAAATAAGTCATGGGGATGTGATGTACAGCATGGCAACTATAGTTAATAATACTGTATTGCGTATCCGAAAGTTGCTATGAGAGTAGATCTAAAAAGTTCTTATCACAGGGAAAAAAATCTGTAACTACGGTGACAGATGTTAACTAGACTTATTGTGGTGATCATTTTACAATATATACAAATATCGATTCTTATGTTGTACACCTGAAACTAAAATAATGTTGTATGTAAATTATACCTCAGTAAAAAATAACGAAAAAGTTTTTATGTTAGCCAGTGGTAACCTCCAAAACCCTTAATTAGCCAACCAGATATTCTAGACATCACCTTCCTAAAGAAGCTCAAATTCATGTCTCTGGTAAAGATGTAGTGTGTGTGCGTGTGTGCATGTGTGTGTGCGTGTGTGTGCGTGTATGTGCGTGCGTGCGTGCATGCACACACATATACATGGTGATTTTTAAATTCTTTCATCCTTTCTTTCTACCTTTAACTAGTCTCCTTCTACAAAAAACTCTGCCATCAACTATTTGGTTATCCTGAAATACAAATCATACAACAGCATCCGAATGAATGCTAAATTCTTTCCTTTTATTCATCAAATTTAATAAGTAGTAAGTTGGCACACAGAAGTGTTCAGTGCTCAGTAAATGGGAACCAATGTAGTTCGCATGCTTTTGGCTCTTCTACAATTTGAGAATCTTACTGTGATTTAAAAAAAAAAGAACAAAAAAAATGTCCCCATAGTCTTACTTTCTTTCACCCAAATTCCTCATCAGAAGCAGTATGGACTCTGACAAACAGACTGAGGGTTCTAGAGGGGAGGGGGGTGGGGGGATGGGTTAGCCTGGTGATGGGTATTAAAGAGGGCACGTTCTGCACGGAGCACTGGGTGTTATACGCAAACAATGAATCGTGGAACACTACACCAAAAACTAATGATGTAATGTATGGTGATTAACATAACATAATAATAAAAAAATAAATTAAAAAAATTAAAAAACAAAACAAAACAGAAGCAGTTGGGGCTGACACATCAAAAAACCTTACCTCATTCTCTGATGAGCTTGCAGAGAGCAGCACCTCCTGGGCATCAAAGAACTCGGAGACAGACTCTGACATGGAGAGGCGGCTCTCGTTGGCTACCTGCTGTGACAGGGGGAGACTGACATGGATTTGCTCACCAGCCTATAGAAGACAGAAGCATTTGGTGTCATTGTTACTCCCTTGAAAGAAAAGCTATTTGTTCAAATTAGACCATGACGTACTAGACCAGATTTCTAGAGAAATGCACACCATATGTTAAAAGAGTGGTGACAAGTAATTTTCACTTGCAACTCAGTAATGATCATGGCCTAAGTTTCCTTCTAATATGTCTAAAGAATCCAAAAGGCATGGCTGAAAGGTGATGGTACTGTGACTTGATTTCAAATCAATGCTTAATGGATATTAAGTGGAGTTAAACAGCTTGAACCCCTATGAAGACCCTGAATTGATTATGGAGACAGGTTCATTCTCATATTCTTAGATCCGTCATTACTAGCTATATTCTAACCAGTATGCTAAATCTCAAGACATATTTGTAGAAACCACTAGAGATATGCTAAGAAAAGACTCTATAAAACTAAATTTTTAAGACAGAATATATAAAAGTCACTTTCCAATTTGGTCTTGAACTTTAACCAATGAGATAATATGACTCGAGTATTAAATCTATGGCAAACTGTATTTTTATTCAATACTATTTATATATATATATATATATAGTACAAATGTCAGATTGCAAAGATTCAAACTAAGACTGTTAACAATTTTTGAATGATGAAGTTGTAGAAATACTTTTGGATTCTGAGCAGTTGAGTGAGCATGACGGTCACCAGATGCCATGTGATGCACGAAGGTGAGTGGACGTAGGGTTGGCAACTTAAATCAAAAAGAAGCTGTCTTGGGATGGCATTTCCTAAGCAATTAGATGCCAGGACCTTGGCACCTGTAGATTTCTAGTAAAATTTATGTTTTTCTAGAAATATGACCTTCACATGAGTTAAAACTCTCACCTTATTATATGTCACTGTATATAAAGCTCTAATATTACTGTTGAAAAGTGTAAATTCTCATGGTTATAAAATAGTAATTTTTATAAAGGGTTATAAACAGAATTATACACTAAGTCTAGCCCAAATACTGAATGTTTTCCTGTCCTTTTAGCATTATGTCAAAAATTCTCCTGAAAAATGGAGTAATAATAGCACCTACCTCAGAGATCATTAGGAGTGTCAAATGAGATAACACATGTAATGTTAGCACGACACTCAGCACATAGTAAGCGCTCACTTGACATGTGCTAGCTATTAATTATCAGCATCACTATTAGTGGCTATAACAGCATCATTAGTATTATTTTAGTAAGGTTAGGTGATTTCTCCTAAGATAGGGCTTTTAAAATAAACCTTAAGAAAGTCTTCATTTAGCATCTTCTCAGCTAAGTATGTTTTTCCCCCCAACATTTCATGGGCCGTTTGATAAGGAACATTTCAAAGGAAGACTGTGACAGACACAGAGAATTCACAAGCTGGAATAGATATATAAACTAAATATTCAGTGGCATCAGGTGAACAGAGATATAAATACAAATAGAGACTGATCACCAAGAATAAATGATATTGAGCTCATGTACATCCTTCACTCCAAAGAACACCGAACTGTCAACAACACAAATATTTATGCAGAGAATCTTATTAGCAGTGAAAGAACTGTATAAAAAAACCCCAAAATATGTAGTTGATTTAGATGCTATAAAGTAAGTATTTTCCATTTATTAAAAATGAATCTTACCTCATCAGGGCTAGGGATAATATTTACACTGACAACCTGATCACAAATAATAGATTCTGAATGTATTCTATTCAACCGACTTCTTAGTTCAGCATTCTGGTTGAGTGCCTTAAAATAACAAAAATTGCACATGTAATTTCAAGTTAATAAGCAAGCATAAAACAGAATAAACACACAAATACACACTGGACAAGAGTCTATGATGCTCTTAGTTATAATTTTTGGAGTCATCATAGGCCAGATCCTACCGGTAAGAAGGAAATGAATGGCTCAGAATTAAGGTACTAATTTTTTATAAAATAAGAGCGTTAATTAGTAGGTTAGTGGGTTGAAAGAGTTCGTGGATTTCATAAAAATGATTCATGGAATTTTCTCCCCCTTTCAGGCCCATTACATCCAAGGCCGGTCTACCACCACATATATATTATGTTTTGCAGCTGGAGATAAAAACTACTGATTCTTTCCATTTTTGGTTCTAGTTTCTAAAATTTGGGAGTTGTCTCCAAGCCAGATAGTGATATTAAAAATTATTTGGAAGTGGGATGAACAATAAACTGGCTTTAATTTATAAAATTATATTTTATTCCAGTGAAAAAATAGTTGTATTTTCATTTTTTAGGAGCACATACACATGAAAGTGCAGCCCAAAAGCTGAGCAGTGTAGACACGGACAAGCATAATAAAGAACATATCACTGGAAGGAACTAACTCCAAGTTATCAGCATCACTACTTTCAATATACCCTCAGTCTGCATCAGTAAAATGCTACCTGGTATAACAGTTTAGGACGTGTGGCAAGAAGAGAATAGCTTTACATAAGCTTTACTCCCTAGAGGTGCCCTGTGGACAAAGGTACTTGCATCACATGGATGCATGGGCACATGTTTGTTCCCTATATATAAGATAGATGTAGCGAACTGGAATTACATCAAGGATCAAAGGACATGGGAGAACAAAGCCCAAAGAGAAGCTGGACAGTTCCTTTCCTTTGCATTAAAATCAGCAATGAGAAGAGGGAGGTGGATGCCTTACTGGGTGGAAGAGAAATGTCAGGACTTACAAAGGCATCTCCCCCAGAGAACGGGCATACTGCTTTTCTTCAGATGGAGTGTATGGATATAGTAAACCAATACACATACAAATATAATATCATAATTCTAACTCTGTATCTATTAAAACAGGATAAACTACAAAGTGGCTAAACTTTACACTTGTATTGAGCAGTGCATAGTCCTTGAGCATGGAGCATAGAATGGCCTCTCCTCTCTCCCTCCAACACGGCTTCTGCTTTTTGAGGAGAAAACTGTTCACTCATAGCTTTTGGCTTTTGTTTAAAGTCTTTATAACCAGCTTGTAAAATATGTGTAAAATATAACACACGTGGTCTGGTGGGCTGTCAGGTATTGATGGAGTAAAGGTGGATACAGATCTTACAGTTGCTACGTTTATGTATTGAAGGAAATATGTGTCTAGCTCTTTGAGAAAACAGGAATGTGTTATTTAGATAAAAGATGATTACTCTCATAGTAAATAAATCATGTACTTTAAAGGAAGAATCCTAGTATCTTTACATGCTGCAAAAGTGCTCAGGGTCATTGTTCCCAGAGCAAAATCTCAAACACTTGGTAGTTACCCCTATCCTTTGTGACCACAGACCTATGCTTATTTGTTCTTTCACTATTTCTTTGCCCATAAGTATGCTGAAAGTTATCTTGTTAATTGAAATATTTGGAATCAGATACATTTTACTGTCCTTTAGGTGGGAGGCCTCGTGGTGGGTCGTTTGCCGATTTTAACTGCAGAATCATAGTCTTGACTTGATGGTTTGAGACAAACCTCGACGGAGGGTTCCTCCAAAGTGACTGCACTGTCTGTTGTCACTGGAACAGAGCTAACAAAACAACACCACACAAACTCCACAGCGAGGATAAATAATGGTTTTCCTCAGGGTAGGAGTTTTCAGCACAGGCTTGCCATTTGTCACGAAACTGGTACTACTGTTCGCTCTGGATAGCTTAAGTGAAATTCTCATTTCAGCTCTTATCTCAGCCAATTGTCATGAAATGCAATTGTGTCTACAGGTGTGTGGGAAGGCACACACGGTAACAGCTCTAGCCATAGTAGCAACGGGGGATGAACTAAAAGTTCAAAAGGAAAATTTTATTAATAATACATATGCAGTGGTAGAAGAAGGTCGTTGTTCTATAGCCCCCCAAAGCATGGAAATAAGGAATCTTCCAAGTCTGGCGGCCCCAGTGGCAGAAGGTGGAAGCGGGCAGACAGCCGAGCGTGCAATGGTCCATTTCTGCAACATCTTCCCCGGGTAGCTCCTCCTTTTGCCTTGATCATACAGACTGTTTCTGAGGTTTGCAACAGCCATGTGCCATGAGCTCTGTGGTGCCGTGCTCTCAGGCAGTGCCCAAGACCACACTTATTACTTCCCTCCCTGAAACGCAACTATTTTCTCCATAATGATATCATGGAAATCTTGGGAACATGGAGGAATACAGGTATTTTCTGTGAAAGGACACTATTAGTGATAATTAACATGGAAGAGCCCAGATTATGGCAGAAACAACATTCAGAATGTACCCAAGGCTCATGAACAGTGGAGAAACAAGGAAAAAGGAGGGGCATCATCAGCTACTCACACCAGCCATGGAGCGAGAAAAGCTTAAGGAGACTTGTCAGTAATGACATTGTTCTGTTGGTGGCAGATGGAACCAAAGACCTAACGGGGAGGGAGCACCACAGGAACTGTGCTTAGATTCTTCACCAGGCAGATTCTAGGCTTATTCTCACTACTTGTTTGAGTTAGTGACCTTGAACTACACACAAAACTCTCCACTATTCCTTTTCCCCATATCTCATGTCCTTCAGACACATTCAAGTTTAATATATCCGAGAAGCAAACCGTTCCTTCTCAATCTATAGAAGGAGTTACCATCTTGAAATCCCAAGCCAGAATTAGCTGTCCAAATCCCCACCATGTTGGCTATTAACTACCATTATCCACCTTGGCAGACAATGGATGAGGCTGACCTTCCACTGGGTGAGACTCGGACAGATACATTTTACTGAACAGAACTGTGGGTTCTGGGAAGGAAACGTGGAATCCTGAGGGCTAAAGGATATGAAACATATGGCAAGATGGAATCATCAGAGACTTAAGCCCTTTGGATAAAAGCAAAACTGATTCAAAAAGAGTGAGAAAATCAGTATGGAAGCTGTCAAAGCTAGAGTGATCAAGAATCAAATCCTGGGAATCACTTAAAAATCACCTTCTTTTCTTAAATTCTAAAATAAGTACATACTACTACAGTATATTTGGAAAATACAAAAAGTAAAAAAACAGTATTTTAAAAAAATTCATAACTTACTACCCTATCAACCAATTGTTGATAGCTTGGTATATTTCTTTCTAGTTTTTTCCTATACATTTTCCACATTACTTAACGGGTGCATACTTTACATCACTTATTCTTTGTATATAAATATATATTTTTAAAGATTTTATTTATTTGACACAGAGAGACATAGCAAGAGAGGGAACACAAGCAGGGGGAGTGGGAGAGGGAGAAGCAGGCTTCCCGCGGAGCAGGGAGCCCGATGCGGGGCTCGATCCCAGGATCCTGGAATCATGACCTGAGCCGAAGGCAGACGCTTAACGACTGAGCCACCCAGGCACCCCTGTATATAAATATTTTATTTGATGTTGCAAACTCTTCACAAATATGACTTTAATAGTTGCATAATAAGTGATTATCTTCTATAATTGGATACTTATGGTATTACTGATTTTTCCCAGAATAAGTAATGCTGCCACGAATGTTTGTATGCATAATAGTTTTCTACATGCAGCATTACTTTCTCAGACTAGACATATTAGTCACGGGTCAGAGGGTTAAAATCTTTTTAAGGCTTTAAGAAATATTGCCAAATTATGTCCAAAATGACATCAATTTAAACTTACTGGATAGCTAAAAAGAGATACAAATAATTCTATGAAGAATATCTTCATGCACAACAAATTTTGCCACGTTTCAGGGAATTCGAATTCAGGAATACTCTTGGAAGTTTCATCCCGATAAATACCCACAATATTTATTTTCTGTATGTGAAATGTTGTAGACAGGAAGGATGGTAAATACTACAATCAGGATATTAATTATGGTACTATGCCTTAAGTTGATTTTTTGCTTACATTTCCACATATACTGTATTTCATTGATTCTAAGATCTCCTACATTTAACACCTCTGAAGTACTGTCAATTTCATTGACAGCAGTTTGCTTTCTTTTTTAGTAATGCACATAATGATGGTACATCTAACAATCTATGGCATGTTGATTTAATGAAATACAGTAATTCTAGCTGAAGTACAAGGGACATATTCTGCTGCTCACATTTATATGGACCCAACACCAACTATATTTAGCACAAGCTGTGCATAGATTCTGGGGCCAGAGACCAAACTAGTAACAGTGTCAGAGGGTAATGTATTATAGACAGACTCAAGTCAAGTCAAATCTTTTATTATTATAGTAACCTGAGGTACTGAAATTACCTTAGTCTTATATACTATTTGATCTTGGGGTTCAGGATACTACAGTAAGGAGGACATGAAATTGTAGCTGTGAAATAAAGTCATTTATAAAGGGATAGAGACCACACACAATGCCCGGTCTTACAGGTTTGAATCTAACATCTATGCCGCCTCTCACGTGTAAAGTTACCTTTAAAGTTTCATGGAGGTAAAATAACAGAATTATGTATGTCTTTGTGTACACACAGATCAGTGAAGAAATATCACTTTAGAAGAGGAATTCATTATCCTGTTCAGCCTTGCAAATTATTACATGCCTGAGGCAGGTAACAATTATTCTGAACAGGTAGTTAAGAATGCTAATTTCACGTATTTTATTTTATTTATTTTTTTCAAAGGTTTTATTTATTTATTTGACAGAGAGAGACACAGTGAGAGAGGGAACACAAGCAGGGGGAGTGGGAGAGGGAGAAGCAGGCTTCCCACGGAGCAGGGAGCCCGATGCGGGGCTCGATCCCAGGACCCTGGGATCATGACCTGAGCGGAAGGCAGACACTTAACGACTGACCCACCCAGGCGCCCCTCACGTATTTTATATGCTATGTGTCCTCTAAAAGGATGATGGAATTTGCCAAGTTGATATCCTTAAAAGCTGTACTGAAAAGCAGCATTTTAATAATTTTACATATATCAAATAGGACGTATAACAAATAAAAAATATACTTTAAAAATGTTAGACTAATTTAAGAAGTTATTTAAACACAGTCTCTCTCTCTCTTTCCCTCTCTGTGGAGAGACTTAACTGGTTATAAGAAAAATATCTGGAAGTTTAACTGATAACACTTGAATATGGATTGAAGATGTCTTCAGGCCACCTAAAATCACACTATAATGTGAAGTTATGCTAATATAAAGAAGTACTCAGAACACTAGTCTCAATATATGCTATTTAAGTACCTTGTTCAATTCTGAGTGCTATGTTGAAAGAGCGACAGTGAAAACAGAGTTGGCCAACCAGGATGGTTCCATCAGTTAACTGTTTCCATCTTCACTGTCTCCTCATCTTCCAGTTCCTTCCCCTCAAATGTGAACATGCTGACACAGCTATCAAACTCCAAGGCTGACTTTCAGTCCATATACTATTTGCTGCTTAATCGGATTCTTCTGGAGACGATCAAAACCCTTTACTGTTGATCTCAATGGTCAGCGCCATCTAAATTCTTTGGCTGCTTCCCCTAAGTCTCCATCAAAGGATCCTCTTTTTGCTATGTCCTTTAACTATTAATGTTCTATATAGCAGCACCACTGACCCTCTTTTCTTCTGATTTACCAATATCTATAACTTTACCAATGTACCAGGGTATCCACATCTTTCTTTCTAGCCAGACCTTTCTCCTGAGCTCTACATCTATATCTCTGATTGTCTGATGGATGGCCCACAGACCCCTCAGTCTCAAAAAAAAAAATCACTACTTAGGCCTGAAAAATCAGTTCCTCTTGTATTCCCAATCTCAGGGAAAAGAACTATTACTATTGTGCTACACAAGGAGTCTTGACTCTGTTTCCTTGTCCCTGTCTAACATGCAGCTGATCTCCAAGCCATGCTGATTCTACCCAGGCCCCCCTCCCCTAGCCTTTGAAACTCTGGTATTTCCTGAGTTCAGGCCTGCATTATCTCAAATATCTTAAGACTCTGTCCAACTAGTTTTGCCTTAATTCCATCCATTGTCCATATGTACCAGAGTAAGCTTTCTAGATACAGAAATATACACTCACATTTTCAATTTCTGGCATTAATCACTCACCAGTTAAAATTCTTTAAGGCCTCCCCAGAACTGATGAGATAAATCTAAACTCTTTCATGTGGTCTTTGATGAGCTGGTTCCCATCTACTTACTTAGCTGTTTCTAGATTAATTTTTCCTTGTTCACCCCATGCTTAGGCCACTATGAGTTAACTGCCATTCTCCAGATACGTCTCCAGTGGTCTAACCATGGATAGTGATTCCCTAGAAGGAAGTGAACCATCTATAAACTTAAATGTCTAAGCAAAAGCAATGGGGAATTCCAAAAGAGAGTCCAGCCTTAGGGGCAACGAGTATAGACTGGCCCAATGGGAGGGTATGGTCAGACATAAGAACATGAAATGCTGTGATGACACACAATAGGAAGCACTGAATTCTCCAGTGAATAGGGTATAACAGACTGTTTTTAGAGTACCAAATTATTTTTACATTTTTTGAGGGTAAAATTGAGCTTTCTGGTTAAAAAATATATATATGTGTATATATATGTGTATATATATATATATATATATATATATATATATATATACACATATATATATAAAAAACAGTAAAAAAAACCAAAAACAAAACCACCACAAAACAAAACAAAACAAAACCAACAGCAACTCAACAAAAATCTATTGAAGCTCTAAGTTTAGAGGTACATAAATTATGTTTTGACAAGAGAAGAAAATACTTAACCCCCCAAATGTAAAGTTGATATAACTTTGCTTTATTTTACTTTCATCATGTTAGCATCAGGTCCTTCCTTGTAAACTGCTGCTGTCTACTCAGGCGCAATTCAAAGCTCAGTTCCTCCTGATCTGTGGCTCTGCTCTGAGGTCAGGGATCTCCCATTCTTATGAACAACCAGAGCCCCAGAAATCTGCACCACCCATATGCTGCTCTGAATGGACTAGAGAGCCTGGTCCATTTAACTGTTTCCTTGGTAAATACTGCTCATCTCACTAATCAGATCATAAGCTTTCTGGGGACATGGCCAGGGTTACTTTTATCTTGGTGTTCCAAATCTTACACTATACCTAATATATAGTCAGTTGAATGAAATACAATGAATAAATGAATGAACAAATGAATCTCTTTAAACATTCCTCTTTATCATTTCTAATCTGATGCCATGCCACAAACCAGATCTCTACTTCCTATTCTTTTTTTTTTTTTTTAAGATTTTAAAAAATTTATTTATTTGACAGAGAGAGACAGAGTGAGAGAGGGAACACAAGCAGGGAGAGTGGGAGAGGGAGAAGCAGGCTTCCCACCAGGTAAGGAGCCCGACGTGGCGCTGGATCCCAGGACCCTGGGATCATGACCCCAGCCTAAGGCAGACGCTTAACGACTGAGCCACCCAGGCGCCCCCCTCCCACAATTCTCTGTCTTAACAAACAAACAAATAAAAGCAAGCAAGCAAGAAACAAATACATTTTCAAAACAATCAACAAAACTAAAAGACAACCTATGGAGAGAATATATAGGAGAAGATGACTGCAAATGACATATCTGGCAAAGGGTTAGTATCCAAAATATATAAAGAACAGATACAACTCAACACCCCCAAAACCAACAATCCAATTCAAAATGGGCAGAAGACATGAATAGATATTTTTCCAAAGAAGACATACAGCTGGCCAACAGACACGTGAAAAGATGCTTATCATCACTCATCATCAGGAAAATACAAATCAAAACCATAATGAAATATCACCTTATACCTGTCAGAATGGCTAAAATAAAAAACGCAAGAAAAAACAGGTGTTGGTGAGGATGTGGAGAAAAATGAACCTTCTTGCACTGTTGGTGGGAATGCAAACTGGTGCAGTCACTGTGGAAAACAGTATGGAAGTTCCTCAAAAAGTTAAAAATAGAATTACTGTACAATATATACATGATATATATGATACACACACACACATACACACACAAGAGTATTATTCAGCCATAAAAAGAATGAAATCTTGCTATTTCCAACAACATGGATGGAGCTAGAGTGTAATGCTAAGTGAAATAATTCAGTCAGAGAAAGACAAATACCATATGATTTCACTCATATATGGAATTTAAAAAACAAAACAAACAAGCAAAAGGAAAAAGAGAGAGAGACAAACCAAGAAACAGACTCTTAACTATAGAGAGCAAACTGATGGTCCCCAGAGGGGAGGTGGGTGGGGGGATGGGGGAAATAGGTTATGGGCATTAAGGAGTATACTTGTGATAAGCACCAGATAATTAAAATAAAAACTTAAAAAAAACAGTTTGTGCAAAGGAAAAACAAAAGAAACAAATACATTTTCTTATTTTTCTGAATACAAGTGTATACCACTAAGCCTCTATCATTTAATACATCTGAAGGAAACACTGTAACATTTAGGGGGTAAGAGTATATTTTGCATGTTTACAGGATGGTATCTGTATGTTTACCTAACCATTGTTTTGATCTCTCTGATTCATGACACTTTCAGAATAATGATTCCGAAGATCAATTACCACAGACTGAGTGTTCAACAGATACATGATATGAGGAGCCCAAGGCAAACCATTAAAATGGGCTTAGGGAAAAAGCCCTTTGCAGACCGGCAAAACAGTTGCAGCTTTGAGTGCTCATGCTCCCGAGTCCCCCCGGTTTTGCACCGGAAGCGGGATATGCACCTCAACTGACAGTGTTTTATGGTGAACACAGCAAGTGTGGCCCAGGTAACAATACTCAATAGCATGAAACTGAACACTGAGGGTAAGCTGACAGTTCAGGTACATAAAACACGGTGAGACAGTTAGTCCATTTTTAGGGACTGAGGGAAACTATTCAAGCAGGAGCCGATCCACATGGAAAACCACTTACCCAGGATTTGCTCGCTCCTTCACTCTGATCCAAGGCACCAGGAAGTGAATAATATTTTATATAAACACTGAGTTCTCACACAAAATCACATAACAACATTGAATTCTCAAAGGACTTTTTAAAAGTGCATTTATAAACTAAATGAAGGAAATATTTCAGAGGAAGTGCTCAGGGTAAAAAAGCATTAAGTGCAGTTTTAAAGGATTTTTATCAGAAATTTCAACTTTGATACATATAGGTATTTGAGGAGTATTATGAAAATCAATACATGTTGAATAATATATAATGAATTATATATAATGAATATATATTGAATAATATATAATGAATATATATTGAATAATATATTTTATGCTGTACAATATATCTTGAAATATATAAGTCTAGCTTAGATAGGAAGGAAATTATCTAACTTAGATAGGAAGGAAATTCTAAAAGTATAAATCAGAAAAGAAAAAAATAGGTAAGAGTAAGCAATAATTTTCAACAGATTAAGATGTGGTATAAGTGGGAAAATATTAAGTGTGGAAGATCTGGTAGATTCTGTTGTATTTTACACTGGATTAAATATATTCTGGAACATATTTTAGAAGTGTAAATCATGTATAAATGCATGATTTATGGTGGTCTTATAAATGACCATTGAGAGCCATCAAAAGTATTCAAATCAGCCAAAAAAAAATTATATGTTTACAAACAAGTTTGGTTGATTTTTACTCTTACCTTGACCTAGTCTGCAAGAAACGTTTAACTTCAACTTTAATTTAATTAATTAATTTTTAGAGAATTTTAAAATTCAATGCTGACATTGCAATGTCTTAGGGGAGTTTCGGTTGAACGTGCCATGCATGACAGACCACCTCCACCCCAATCTTTTGCCTTATGGGATCAGGTATGCATCATGAGAGTGAAACAAACACTCTCGTTTACCTGAGACAGTGACTGTCGGAGCCGTGCCATCTGCGTGCTGTGGCCTTTATTGTGATCCTGCTCAGAAACCATCTGCTTAAGCTTCTCCTTCTCTATAGCTATGCTATTAAATGCAGACTTCAAAAGAGAATGCACTGGGTGGGGGAAAAAGTGAGAAACAAAGATTAAATGGATCCAGAAAGAATATACAAAATTACAAATTCCTCAGCACTTTAACTCATGCATAGACATTATCTGGAAGGATTATATTACAGTCTAGTTAAAAGTCAGCCTTACAATGGAATCTTCCAAAATACCTATACACAAAACGAATACGGTAATGGTAATTAATCAGAGCGAAAATTCACGCATTTCATACCAGAAAAGACTTAGATGCAGGATATAAAATATTGATATCAATTCTTAAATATCAACATTTAGAAAATTAATCTATCATTCCTAGAAGGAAAAGGCAACAGGTTTTACACTGTCATGGTTGATAAGAATATATGAACAGTTCTGTGTACAATGAATTCTCATGCAAATCATTTAGAACTATTCAAATATTATTTCCCCAAAGCAGGTACCCAAAAAGAGCATTTTATAAATCCTGCCAAAATAAAACAGGAAGCTGATCTAGAAGTCCTGACTAGTTCTCTTTGAGGTAGGAAATGATTTGGTCTTGAGAATAGCACTTGAATTACTTTCTCAGCCAGGAACATCTTGATGTAAGCAGTGCGTTCAAAGAGTAAAACTTCCAGGTTTGAGGTGAGTAAGTTCTGGAATTCTAATGTACAGTTTGATGACTATAGTTAATAATACTGTATTATATATTTCAAAGTTAAGAGAGTGGATCTTAAATGTTTTCACCACAAAAAAGAAATGGTAATTATGTGACAGGATGGACATGTTAGCTGATGCTATGATGGTAATCATTTTGTAATATTTAAGTGTATCAAATCAACAGGCACACCTTAAACTTATGAAATGTTATATGTTAACCATATCTTAATAAAACTACAAAAAAACAAAATAAAAGCAACAATAAAAACAACCCCCCCCCTTTTCTGTATACCTAATAACATACACTGGTAGAATCTAAGGTAGTCTTTAAGTTTGAAATACAGGAAGTTTGGATTTCCAACTCCTATCTTTATAATAACAGTTTCTATATATGCAAAGTCTTCTAAAATAGGGATTTCCATATTTGAGAACAGTTATTTTTAAGAAGTGGAAAATTTTAGCAAAAAACACTGGCTTGAATGAAGAGGGGAAAAATGATGGGATCACAAGGGACTCACAATCTATTGATTTATATGCCACATTCTAGTCATCATCAATTTAAAGGTAATAACTTGATAGCTGGAATACATGAACCCCACTGGCAGTTCTAAAAGCTGACTCTCATACATTTCAAAATCCATAACTCTTTCTAAAGAGTTCACTCAGTAGTCATAGAAAAGCCCTTTTTTTCTAGTATAGTTGGAAAGAAAATATGTTGTTTCAACAGAGGCTTTAAAATCCTGTTGAAACATGGATTTCCTGAAAACCTCAGGACTGCAACCAAATACACAAAGCTTTCCTGGGGCTACTTTCGAATTTATTCATCTCCCTTTAGAGGCTGTGCTATATGTACTTAATTCACACATTTGTTGTCTCATTCTGCCTGCTCCTACAACCATCCTCTTGTCCCCTTGCTGTTAGAAGTAAAAGTTACTGGCCATAATCCTATGCTGTTATATAAAGAAAATAACACTGCTCTAATCTAATGACATAATTAGCATCTGGCTAAGAAATGTAACAAAAATGTATCAGGAGTAAAATAGCAGGTGAAAGAAAGTTGGCCTTTCAGAATCTCAACTGAGAAATCTACAGAGAAAGAAGGGTGGGGTGGGGGAGAAGATTTAGCTTAATTGTTTATGATTATAGAATTAAAGAAATATCTCATAAGTACATCTTTGATGATGGCTTGAGAGTATGAAATTTTGTTGACTTCAACATTCCTAGAGATGTTCTCAGTGTGTGCCCCTTCTTTTCCTGAGCCACCAGGCTCTTGGGCATTATGGGGGCACAGGAGATGTTCCATTTAGCACACATTTTCAGGAATATCTTATCACCTATTACCAACAGCCTCAGGGTAAATTAATGTGATTAATTCACAATAAGATGTAAATGGCTGAAAACCACATCATGTATATCTTTCTTCAAGAGATTATGCATTTTCAAAGACAATGCCTGGGAAGGTACTATCTTAAGTCAAAAAATGAATTTCAGCAACTGAAATTTAAATGCTATAGCAAAAGTGGGGGGTGGTAATTTGGAACCCAGGCTCTTGGTAAACATAGACAGGACTGATCGGTCTACCTACAAGCTACTACCTGCCTCTTATTTATTAGACCCTGTCTCTGTGGCTGATAACACATGAACTTACACAACATGCCTTATTGAAAATTTAATATGAAAAAAGGGACTCCCAGGTGGGCTCAATTTCCCCTCCCCTCAAATCTGAACTAGCCCGTGAAGCTCTGGCCAGTAGAGAGCAGCAGGTGATGCTGTGCCAAGTGAACAGGCCTGGCAGCTTCCATCTCAGTCTAGTCCACTCCCTTGGAGCCCTGAGCTGTCATGGAGAGCGAGAGGGACACAGTTGTGCGTGACCCTGCAGCCATCCCACCAACATGCCAGGAATATGGATGAAGCCACCTTGGATCTTTCAGCCCAGCCCAGCCTCTGGCCGAGTATCACTGAGCCCAGGCTGTGCCACACGGCACAGAACTGCCTACCTGAGCCTGAGCCTAGATCAATGAGTGTTATTTAATAAAGGAAAAAGAACGACTGCTAAGGATAGCCCACAAGTCTGTATTAAATGAGAACTAAACGACACTGAAAAAGAGATGTTGAGTCGTAGTGTGTGCTGGCCTGCCTAGGATAATTCTTGGTGTCTTTCCCCCTTTCTCTCCCCCGCTTATGACACTTTCTTTCTCCGTTCAAAACTGTGAACCAAGAGGCAGGCATCACACCCCACTGCATTTTTGTATCTAGAACTCCGATCAGTATATACACTGCTTAGTCCTTTCTACCATGACCACCTGGACAAGAATGAAAGAGTTAACGGCAACCTCTCACCAAAGAAGAGAACGTCTCTAAAGGACACGTTGTATTTGCCCGTACCTTTCTGTGCAATTAGACAAAATTCCTCCTGAAGCTTTGTATAATCCGTTGAACTTTCCAGAGGGTCGGTGAGGTGGCTAGGGGGAGTCTGAAATTCGATATCTGCACAAAGGTTGGGGTTGGAGGAGTGCAGGCGGACTGGTGACATGGTAGCACTGAAAGGGACCTGAAAGGGGACAGCACAAATTAGGAAAGAGCAACAGGACAGCAGTCCACATTCTCGTACGTAGGAAAGATGGCGTCCCTTCTTCAAAATACTAGGTCCCTTTGGAATGACACGCCCAGAGACACTCAGTACTCGTTTAGTTGGCAGGTGGTTGAAGTGGGAAGAACTCTCAGTTCTGAGAGTAGATCGAGTACTGCTGTGGGCTCACTGGCTTTTCCCTGTTACAGCGAGAGATGACTATAGAACGACAGGAAGGAAAGACAGAATCCCAGATAAGCTCCAGCTCTGAACCCACAGTTGGATCTAAAAAATCACTGGCAGGAAACAGTAGTTGGAACTCTCACAAAGTCTGGGTACTCGTGTCAGAGGACTTTTTATGCTCACTTGTTTCTGAGCCTGGAGCAGGAGATTACGGAACGGGCAAAAAAAATTCAAGGAAGATTTACTTGCTCCGTGGCCATTGGATAAAACATGAACAAGTTTAACAGTAAATATAGTCATGGCTTAAAGAGACTCAATTAAATTTGAAATTGATTTATTAAAATATTTGTAAATGAAATATACATGATATAAATTACTGTCGTTTACCTTTGTATGTTACATAAAACACTGTTACACATACAAACACGGCTTATGAAATGGCCAATATTGAAAAGCACTAAGTAAAAAAAGTCATATTACTATAGATTTTCCCAAATGGCTAGAGGTATTTTCTTGCCTGCACTGGATCTGGGCTAGTATTGTGATGGGTGGAGACAAAGCACCGTTCCCTCTCCTTCTAGAAGGTTACACCTGACCATTATAAATGGCATCAGCCAAACATTCTTGGAAAATGAGAATACCAATTCCTATTGTAAATCAGATTACCAGTAACCTCCCCTAATTCTTACTGCACAGATGTTCATTCAGTTATCTTCATGAATCTCTCTTAGACTTCCTCCACAAGCTGAATTTTATATAAATTAAGGGGTAATTCACACCTTCTAGCTAGCAGGAAATACACTTGTCTGATGCAGATGTATATCAGAACCACTTCCTTTTTTTCCCCCCTATTTTGATAGAGCTTTAAACTTCCTGACAGAAGAAGAGAGAGCAAGTGGAGGAGGGGTGAGGAGGGAGGAAGAGGGAGATAGAAAGAGACAGGGAGGGCGCCTGGGTGGCTCAGTTGGTTGAGCGACTGCCTTCGGCTCAGGTCATGATCCTGGAGTCCCAGGATCGAGTCCCGTATCGGGTTCCCTGCTCAGCGGGGAGTCTGCTTCTCCCTCTGACCCTCCCCCCCCTCATGTGCGCTCTCTCTCTCAAATAAATAAATAAAATCTTTAAAAAAAAAAAAAGAAAGAAAGAGACAGGGAGAGAGACAGAGAGAGAGATAGAACAGGAAAAAGGAGCATGTACTTGCGTACTGAGGATACACAGGATAGATGGAGGAGATGGAGAGAGCTGGCTGACAAGTCATGCCTCTTCAGCATTCAATTAGAGTTATTTACTCAGTTTTTTGTTCATCAATTTGGGTATGATGGGATTCAAAAATTTAAGGGATAGCTAGGTCTTCTGTCAGTGATGGCTTAGGTGGGAGCTGTCTACAGGTCTCACTGTTTGCACTTAAGAATCCTGAATGTTAGATGCAGCCTTTACACCGTGCTCAGGAACGAAGTCCAAGGCTTCCCTGAAATCCTGTGCCAGGGAGGAAGCCTGATCTTGGAATATTCTGGTACTAATAACTGCAGTTTGGAATGGGGATGTTAGAAGGTGCTTTTAACACCTGTCTACAAAGAAGTTATAAGAGAAAAATGGATCAACATTGGAACTGTGGCACTGAAATTTAGCAATGGGGGGATGGGTTGGCCCAGTTATGGGTATTAAGGAGGGCACGTATTGCAATGAGCACTGGGTGTTATACACAAACAATGAATCATGGAACACTACATCAAAAACTAATGATGTACTGTATGGTGACTAACGTAACATAATAAATAAATAAATAATAACAAATTAAAAAAAACATGAATGAGAAAGGGACACACAAAAGCAGGTCTAAGAGAGATACTAAGCATATACAACATATGGAGCCAATTTGAAAAGTCTCCTGCTGTAATTCCTCTGCGTTATGTGTACAGGGATCCTCGTGTAGAGAACTGATTGCACAGGGACCCTTGGTGTTCTTCTGTGGGGGCAGGGCCAGTGTGTCTCTTTTTCCAACCCCCTATTCTGTTGGGTCTGGCTGATGTTGCAAGTGAGCCATTTTGGGTTCTAGTGCTAAGAATCGAAAAGAATAAATCTCTGAAACATCTCCTTTGGGTGCATTTTTCTTTGGGAGCAGTCTCAGCTGCCCCAGATATTTGAGTCGGTCTCCTCCTCACTGGAGGAAAATAAGTAACTAGGAGTCATTTGCAATAATTCTAGGTAAAAGGCACCGAGCTGGAGAGGATAGGCTCAAAATGTATGGGAAACTTAGTGTTGGGAAGAAGGAAGGCAGGGGATTAAGAGGAACACTGCACCAGGAGAAATAGGGGGGCTGAGTCACCAGTGTCAGGTCACTTGAGATGTGAATGAGGGGTGAGGGGGCCGAGGGGGCAAGCTAAAGTTCCTGCTAGATGGTGTCATTCTTTGCTATGGAGTTAAAGCTATAAATCCTAAAGGGTTTAGAGTAACTATTCCCTCTGGTTGTCTATGAATACATTACTAGATGCTGCCAACTTTCCTCATTAGATGCTTGGAATTATTGGAAGTTATTCTTAACTTCTGTGATCACTGCTACCCTGGGAGATAGGCATTAATACTCTCCTCTTTTAAAAGCTTTTTCTTTTCTACTTTCCATTAAAAATATATATATATATATATATAAACCCATTCTATTCAAATAGTTTCTAATCCCAGTTTTATTGTATTCACTCTATGTATCTGCAATTAAAAAATGAACACAGTAGAAACACAATCGCTTCCCTGCATGCCTTCTCAGAAGTACATTATTTAAGGAAACATAGGTATTTTAACAAAATGACTGACCTTTCCTTTCCATACTGAGATACTGTTCTTTGATAATCATCTGGATTTCTGAATTTTATCAATGAAAGGTTAAGAACTACTTAACTAATTTTACATATATCTATTGGCATGACCAGTTACCATGTCAGTGTCATATATTACGCATACAAGCATAAGAGAAACACTAATCATGATATCAATTTCATGAATTTGTTCAAATGTTCATAAAACTGTGAGTTTAAGAATCAATTCCCTTAATAAACTCCAAGTCACTGGTTCATTTCATAATCAAAAGCAATTTTCTCTCTCTCAAAAAAATCCAGCTAAGCAGCGAGATATAAAGCAAGGGCCAGTTATTAATCAAAAGTAGAAAACCAACAATCCTCTCATGAGTATCCGTTCTCTTACAGTGAAACCAAAACCTTTTCGTATTTTTCAGGAATTCTAGTCTTCAAGTATATTCCACCAGTAGCAAGAGCAAGACTATTGTTAATTCAGAAAATACTAATAGCCAAAAAAACTAACATCCATGATTGCTATGAACTTAGTATTCTGTATTTTAAAAAGTTGACAGGATGTCATGATTAAGCAAGTATTATGATTTGCTTTTATCCAGCAAAGGGTTCTTGCATTTACACATTCTATTTCCTATTCTGCATGCACCGTTCACTATTCTAAACAGCTTCTACTCAATTTAAAATTTTAGTTATTTGTCTTATCTGTTTCAATACTTGCCCTACCCTCCTAATAAACCTTAGCTATATATTAAACACCATTTAACTTGGGGGTTTTCTCCTTTCCACACTACATATTTTCTGACTTTCAGCTCAATATTCTTTCCAGAAAATTGTTCCCTTGCTAGGTGTAATTTGGGTAGCCATTTAGAGATGACATCAAAATTCACCTTTTCTTACCCTCTCTTTTCTTTATTCTCACATCCTTTTCAAATAATCACAATACTACAAAAAAAGCACAATTTTTGTCTGTAGTAACATGACTTTTCTTAGAAAAACAGAAATCAGTTAGCAGAGGTCCCAATATCAGTATGACCAAAAAAAAAATTTATATATATATATTATATATATATATATATAATTTTAGGAAATTCCACACCATAGGGAGCCGTACTCAATTTTGCCACCTTGCATTTGCATTATTTCTTACACTGACAGAAGAAGAACTGGGTTAGGGGGTCATTTTCCATTGCAAACACGAATACCCATGTGCGACACCTGCCATGCAGAGACAGCCAGAGAACATGCGAAAGCTGTGCCAGAAAGGGAGGGGGCTACAGTCAATGCCACTGCACACAAACGGCACCACGGGAACAGGGGAGGCGCCACTTGGACCGAGTTGCTCATTCTTATTAAATGTCCACTTGAGATTGAAATCCACTCACTGTTGTAGCCACTGCTGCCGCTAGCCTCTGCCGGCGCCGAGTGGTGCTGAACTGGCCCTTCACAGATGGCCCTTCCTGACAGTGAATGAGAGAAGAGGAGGGAGGAGAGGAGCAGGGGCCGGGGAGGGGGAGGACAGGATGCGGGAGGACAAAAGATCATCAGACAAGGGAAAGGGAGAGTTTTTAAGTGGAGTTGACTTTTCCCTCAATCACAGCATTGAAAAGTGCTCGAAGGGGCATTCTCGCTGGGAGAAAAGCTCACTGTCCTCATTGCAGAACCCCCAGACACTTACGTCTAGTTGCTGAATATGACCCCACCCCAAAAGGAGATGGGAAGTCATGAATTGATGAATAATAGCTTGTGATCTTAAAGTAAAATAAAGGTGCATATCATTTTCTTCATGTTATATGAAATCAAAGGCATTCAATCAATGGAAGCAAAGATAAAAGTAAGTTCGGGAAAAATGATTAAATAATGTGCAAAGGCTAAAACAAACAAGTTGTAATGGGAGTCTCCCGTTAGCCAGGCAGAATTTTTTTCTTTCTTGCTGGGAGGAAAAGTACAGGGGAAAGGGTACCAGGAATCTTCAATGTCCCATTTATTTACCTGCTAGAAAGCTCTCTGGGATTCAACATTAGGAATGGTGTTGGGATTTTCAGGTTGGAGAATTCTCCAAGGAGGAAACCAGTCCGCATAGCATAGGGGAAAAAGCATTCAATGTCCTCAGTGTGTTGGGACAATGCCTGCAAAAAGCAGCTAGGGAACCCTGAAGGCAGAGGCTTCATATAATGATGTGCACCTATGCATAAACCAGCAGAGAAGCCGAGAGCTTTCTTTTTTGTCTCTTTTTGGTGGACGGGATCATGGGATAATGATATTTCCTTCTAACTACTCAAGTTTACGTCTGTCCATGTGACAGACCCTCGCTCTTCGTGGTTGTGAACGGTAAGTTCAATTCCAATGAACTGAGATGTACATAGGGTCACTTAACAGTGGAGATTAAGCAAAAGCAGCATGACTGCTTTAGTCTTTTTGGAACAGAAAAATATTTTAAATTCTTATAACTCCAATTCTCTTCAAAGTTTCCCCATTACATTCACATTTTTCTTCCATGTTCGTAAGTCTTCTGCATGCATTATATGTTTATTGTACACACACACATATATACAATGTGTTTTCTACAAAAAGTTTTCTATACAAAATCCCTTCATGCTTAATGCAGTAAGTTAAAGGAGAAAGAACTTATTTTTGCCCTTCAGTATAATTTGAGCATCTGTGAGATTTAGAACAGTTACACAGAAATGATATCTGACCATGTATCTGCTATTCCCTGCTTTCTGCTATTGCTCATTCTCTCCAACAACTAGGGCTCTAGTATTAATTTGTGCTATTAGTCTTGTAGGAAACCTAGTAGCTCTCTCATTCATAGCAACCCTTTCCACAATCATTCCCTTCTTGCCCTCCTTTACCTCACTGGAAACACAGTCCAACGGTTACTGTGTAATGATGATAATGAGATTGTTATTAGAACCGGAAATTTGAAGTTTGGGAGAAAGTCCTTTTTTTCTAAAAGGTACTCTCCAGAGAGCTTTCTGGGACAAATGCCTTCAATGAATTACACAAAGGATTTTTGAAGCTAGTTTCTCAATGGTTTCTAGTAGGAATATGACCATGTGGCTCTAAAATGTAACCTTCATATTCAAATCAATAGCACAATCTAACCGATGTTAAGAATAAGATACCAAACATATAGAATAACATGATCTTCATTTCTATTCTCCTGAAGTCAATTTTTTAAAGGACTCATTTTATAATTATTTCAAAATAACAACTACTGCAGAATGCCAGATGCACAGCTCAGTGAAACGGTATCATTAAGAACAGGAACACGAACCACCACGACCACCACAGGACAGTCTGGGTGCCTCCACAAATGACTGGTGGAACTCCAAGTTACCAACAACAGAAGGGATGAACCATGAGCCCGCTCACTACAACGCCTCTCAAACTGGCCGCAACAGGGACGGTAGAGAAGGAGGCTCAAGTAGTGAGACGATTATGGGCTCAAAACAAATACTTGGCACCCTCTGATGGGGTTCCAATGGTCAAGGAGGGAAAAACCCGGGTATTAGGGTAGGAGAACGGAGGAGGTAGGTTTAATCCACTAAATAAAAATAAATGCTACGCCTTTCTGTAAGGAAAATAATAATGAGTAAAGACATTTATATTGGCCATAGGCATCCCTGGCTGATTGTATGGATCCCCAGCCAAGTGTGCATGTTGAAGAAACTTCCAAGTAAATTCCCAGTGATAAAGAATGAGCATCTTAAGGGCTCTGAGAAGGCCTGTTGGTTTGGGTGAGCAGAAAAGGTGCAGGGATAGTACCAAATTCTGCAGGATTCACCCTACAATACCTTTTGTTTTACCAGTCTAAGTGGAAGCAGGGTTTCTCTGGGAGTAATAAATAGTTCACCGCCACCCCCAAGTCTGTTGATTTCCACTTGGAGGTAGAACTAAATCTCTCTTGCAAAAGTTTAAAGTTTTCTTTGAGTGTGGGGAATAGGTGATTTCAATTTCCCTCAAAAATAATTAAACTAGAATCACAAGGGCCGTATTGTTACTCTTTGGCAAAAAAAAAAAAAAAAAGTGCAAAACAGCACCAATAAAAATTTAAAAACAAACTACCCAAATATGTGGCAAAAGTATGAATGAAAAATATTTTCCTGTTTTTTGAACAATTTCTTCTGATGACTCAAAAAAATCTTCATAAACCTTCTCATATAGAAAAGCAAGCCTATGACTAGAAGGGCTATTCTAGCTGCATTCTGTTTCCTCTGGGAAAAAATGGAGCGATATGAGGGCCACGGTGGGCCTTGTAGCCCCAGCAGGCCGGCCAGGGGCACCGTGCTCACATTTTCTGAGGAGAAACCAACCTGTTCGAGACAACAGCTGTGAATGGCAATCTGTTCAGGGTCCTACCTTAGAAAAACGAGACTGAAAGAATATCTGTCTACAAATGTATATGTTCTTATGACGTTGGCTGCCTTCAATTATTTTTATAATATTTTTTTTTCTTGGCTATGATAACCATAGATATCATGTTTTAAAAAGCCCCACAAAACTAGACAATCACATGCCCCAAACAAATGAAATGGCCCAAAGCACTTTTAGGTAAATTTTTTGTGAAGTCATTTGGCACATTTGTCTCTGTAGCATTAATGTTCTGAATAGAAGAGAACACACAAAAACATAGCTGCTGAAGGAACACTATAAATTGTGTTCATAGAATGTAGACATCCTAACCAGAAAAACATGAATCTTTAGCGTTTATGAAATTTATTTTCAAATATATCAGTTAGCAAGCAAAGCAAAGCAACAAGGAGTTTGTTATTTACACATTCAGAATTACAACACAAAGAATATCAATACAATCAGAATGAAGGAGTTCTTATTTCTTCAGAGAACACTGAAGAATTCTGGAAAATAGTTACTTTTACCTTTGTATTAGAATATAAATTGATTTATAGTGTAATAAAAAGAAAAGCAAAATCCTAAGTTTGATTTTGATTGTGCAGGGCAAGAGTTTTTCTTTTTAATAATATATAGCTAGGATCAGAATAGTAAACATTCTTGTTTAAAGATCTGAAAGTAATATGATTTATGGCATAAGAGGTTTCAGGCACTTATCATATTTCATGTCATTGCAATGCACTAACAACCTAAGATGCTCTTACTCTAAAAATTTAAAACTACTCATTTCAAATAAATAACTTATTTAAAATAAATTTCAAGTAAATTTATCATGAGTCATTAAGACTTTCATAATTCAGATTTTAAAAGTGATCCTTGATGACCAAATTATATCTATTTTTGAAGAATCATAGAATTTTACAACTGAAAGGGAATTCAGAGATCATTAAATTAATTCCATGACTTTACCCAGGAGCAAATGGAAGCCTAGAAAATTTAACAGAAATGCACAAGATTATACTGCCAGGAAATCACAGTTGATTAGCCTAGAACCTGAGTTTGCCGACTTCGAATCTTTTGCAGCCCTCAAGTCTTTTTATTGATATATAAAATTTTGAACAAAGCTACTACAGAAAAGGCTCTTTTAAGATCTAGTACATATAAATGAGTGCTCATTACAACACACTGGATTTTTAGCCTGATTTTTAAGCTAATTTTTTGTTAAATTATATTTTAACAGTTCAACGGTGGTAAGTGAGAATGAAAATGCTACTTTGTAGCCATATTAAATAATTTTAACCTTTCTTTTAAATTATTTTTACTTATTCCAGAGGAAGAAGAGTAGATTCCCCCCGAATTTAGATAGTACAACTCAGTCTATAAAACACAGGCTTTAAAGCAGGTCAGCTGCTTTAGACTCCTTAACCTCCACCAATTGATATATAAAGACTAATATCTTAAAAGCATATAAAAATATGAATGAAGGGAAAAAGTCTGTACCTGCAGTTGTATTTTTGTATCTTTGCTGACACTTTTTGTTCTCCATCTTCTTGTGACCCGCTTGTCTTTCTTTGAAATATCTACACAGTTAGCCTACATTACACAAATAGTTAAAAGCAACAAGTATTATTAAGTTCACACACATGTTACGGATATAGACAAAGAGAACAGCAAGTTAGTAAAGAGTCGTTGTTAGCCACCTAAAGCACACCAGCCAGGAGGGAAAGTCGTATCTGATGCACAGTGGACATCAAAAGCAGAAGTAAGAACTTAGTCATAAAATATATTTGTCTGCTATACAAAAGGAAAACAGGATTAGAGATTTTTAGCATTCTTTTTTCCTACATAAAAAGATGACCGTGGGGCTCCTAGGTGGCTCCGTGGGTTGAGCAGCTAGCTGACTCTTGATTTCAGCTCAGGTCATGATCTCAGGGTCGTGAGATCCAGCCCCAGGGACAGGCTCCATGCCCCATGCTCAGCTTGGGATTCTCTCTCTCCTCCTACTTCTGCCCTTCCCCCCACTCGCACGTGCGTGCGCGCGCGTGCAGCTCTCTCAAACAAATCTTTAAAAAAAAATGGCAGTAATTCTGAGAGTATCTAAGTTATATCTTCAAAGTATCTATCTATCTATCTATCTATCTATCTATCTATCTATCTATCTATCTATATCTAAGTTATATCTTCAGAGCTATCATTTCTAATGCAATACAAACATGGAAGAATAATTCAGATATTTATTTCTATTAGTTTACACTTAAATGTAAAATATTTCAAAATAGACATCTTAACACAAAGACACCAAGAATTCAAAAATATTAAGAAAAACTCCAGAATATAAACTAATCTGTGTTGTAGTTATTTCCCTTTAAATGTTACCTTATATATTCATAAAACAATCCAGTAAAAATTCTGCATTAATGTCTTAATGTCCTCTCAGTAATGTTTACCTGCATGTCAGTAAAGTTAGGTGCTGACTGAGTTCTCTGAAGTATTTCCAAATTTTGCAGGAGTTTGCTAAGTTCCACAAGGTTTGACTGGCAGTGTGCAAGGTCTAAGAAAAATCAGAAAGAAAAAATAGGTTAGAACTGGGCAGGGACAGGCAGTGATGGTAATAAAAGACAGTGAATCCCAATTATGGCAAGTATGATTAGGTATATCCATGTTTATATAATGGTGGTACTGGCAAATGAAACAAAACAGACCCTTCTCTGGTTTAGAACCTTAAAAGCATTGATTATTTAATGAGTTGAAAGCCTACTTACAAATTAACAGCTAGCTATTACAATCTCAGTGACATTGTGCATTCTCGCTTTCCTGTTCTGGTGGCCCTTGGCACATAGAAACCACACTCAAGGGATCTTCAGTAGTTTTATGGTTTTATTCTTAGGAACCTGTCCACCTACTCCTAAAATAGTTTACAAGGTGGCTGCTTAGAATTTGGATGAAGTCAAAGTCAAGTTCAGAAAAATAAGATGGATTGCAAAGTCAGATAGACACATTTATCTATGATTTCAATCACTAACAATGTTGCAATGAATGATTTCTTTAAAATTTATGAGGGATGGGGTGCCTGGGTGGCTCAGTCATTAAGCGTCCGCCTTCAGCTCAGGTCATGATCCCAGGGTCCTGGGATCGAGCCCTTGAGTCAGGCTTCCTGCTCAGTGGGGAGCCTGCTTCTCCCCTTCCCTCTGCCCCTCCCCCCCACTTGTGCAGGCCCGCGCACCCACGCACTCTCTCTCTCAAATAAATAAATAAAATCTTTAAAAAAAAAAAATCTATGAGGGATGTTCTACTAAACACAACCAAAGATTCTCAGAGTATGTTCCCTGGCCCAGCATGATCAGAGTCACCTGGGCATGAAACATATCCTGTTTGAATTGTTTCATGAAGAAATGGCTTTTAATTTTATTTTTAATTTTTAGCTGTATTTGAACAAAAGAGAATTTTTAAAGATTTGTATAATAAAATATCACTCTTAAAAACTGACTCTGAGTAAATGAAAATTAAATATAGTCAAGAATATTGAGTTAGTAGTATCACTCACACAATTATCAAATATTTAGAACATGCCAGTAGTCATGTGATTACTTTTGCATGTGTATTGTTTATAAAGAGACTGCAATAGGGCACGTCTATAAATGTGTTATATAATAAGGTGGTTACAATATGTGGTGAGTTGGTGAAAATTTCATTTATATTATTTGTTTCTCATTAAATCTCAAGGATCTGAATTTTTACAGATACAGTATAGGCAGCAAAATATTGTTGTTAAATATGGCTAGGAGCTCCTGGGTGGCTCAGTTGGTTAAGTGGGGCCAACTCTTGGTTTTGGCTCAGGTCATGATCTCAGGGACCTGGGATTGAGCCCCACGTCAGGCTCCGTGCTCAGCGAGGAGTCTGCTTTTGGAGTCTCTCTCCCTCTCCTTCTGCCCCTCCCCCTGCTCATGCTATCTCTCTCTCAAATCAATCAATCAATCTTTAAATATGGCTAAAGATAAGCTGGGCCAAATAACATAGGTAGTTGCATCTCAGGGATTTTTGACTTTTTGACTTTTTCGTGGGATATAAAAACAGAGGAGTAACTGCTACAAGGGTCGTTCCAGGACTGCCAATCACTGCATGCTCTATGGAGAACAGGGTAGCAGCAATTTTAGGGCCAGGCCATATCCAGGTCCCCCCTCTTCTCTACAGCATCTGCCTCAGGATGGAGTCCGGGTGGGCTGTTCAAGCGCTACTGCTGTTCTTCCAAGAACTGTTGGCCGTCAGTGGCCATTCCTTCAGAGAGGAACCCAGTGGAGGTGGGAGGAGAGCACTGATGAAGACAGCCCTGCCACCACCCCATCCACCTTCAGGGGAGGCCATGCCCTTGTGTCCCCATCCTCTTCCCTAAGAAAACAAAGTCAAGTGGCTCAGGAGGGTAGAAAATACAGAGGATGAAAGGAAAGTTAGGAGGGAAGAAAGTAGTACAAAGAAAGAAGGAGGGTTAGAGGGAAGAGGAGGAGGGACATGGGCTAGCTAGAAAGGGCCTACCTTTTAATTTGCATATTATTATTATTATTTTAGAGAGAGACAGCAGGCGCATGGGTGATTGGGGGAGGGGGAGGTGCAGAGGGAAAGGGGGAAAGGGAATCTTAGGCAGGTGCCACACCTGACCTCTGAGATCATGACCTGAGCCAAAATGAAGAGTCAGCCACTTAGCCCAAGAGCCTTGCAGATGCCCCTTAATTTGCATTTTAAAGAACAAAACTGTGTCATAAGTACCACGCTAATAGGGACATTATTTCACATTACCCATGCATCAAGCCTTCTATCTCGTGCCTATTACATTCATGCTTCCTAATAAGTGTGACTAACGTACACAAATGGTGTACGCAGGTAGCAGAGCAATCTGGAAACGAGGCTTCGAACCGTCACAATAATATCCACCCTTTTCCTAACAGAATGGAAAGAGAACGTCGTAAATGAACTTGTTCAAGAGCAAAAGACCTAAAGTTAAGAGTCAGGAGACAAGGACTGACTTTGCATTTCCTGGTGACATTAGGATATGCCTCTCTTCCCTTCCCAGCTTAGAGTAGCAACTGAGATGGTAGATGAGGAAACTCTGTGAGTATGGGCCGTACCATGTGTAATCACCTTCCCTTGGAGCAAGCCACACCCGTCCCCACCACTTCTATTGCTTGAAACGTGGAAGAGATGAAATCCTGGGCAGGACTTCACTGCCTGCCTAAGTGTCTAGATGTACATAAGGATTCTAAAGACTTGCCAAAGGCAACAAAAAGATCTTTAAAAAAAAGAAATCTCTAGAATTTCTTTAAATTAAGATGAAATCTAGTTTTAGAGATGCAGAAAAAGGAAAAACCATGCCAAGAAAAAACTGCTGAGATAGTTCAGAATGGTGAACAGTTAAAAACAAATCTAACAATTTACTTTTTTTCCCATCATGCCCTATCTTGTTCCAGAAAGAAATGAGTCGTCCAACTGTGGAATGGTTAAATAAATTAGGGTATATCTAAAGTTATCCATTTATTATTTCATTTAGGTACCATTGATGGAAGATGCTGTGTACCCAGGTTAATTCTAAGTACAGGGATTATCACAACCAAGTAAGATTCATGGAATTTACATCCTGGAAAAAAAATGCAAACATGTTGTATGTTAAACAATCATGTATCCATCTTCAAAGTGGCATACACAATACTAGTTTAACATTTTGTCTCCGTGGGAGCCAAGCAATTCCCTTGCATACTTGAGAAGATCTGGACTGATGTAAGTTCAGATCTATGAATGGTTCGCCACCTTGGGTATTAAAACTATAAATCAGATATGCTATGAGTTCAAGAAGATGCTACATGATGAACTTCTGAAATACAAACCTCAATAGTGAGAACTCTCTATACAATCATCAGGAGACACCAAAGAAAAGGGTCATGGGAGTCTGGAAAATAGAGTTATCATGGTTTGAAGTCATCAGAGCACACTCAAAGGAGAGAGTAAAATCTTTTCTGGGTCTGGAGGATTGATGGAAAGGATTCAGCAAAAGAGAAAGGTGGAGAAGGGCAGAGAGGGAAAGAACCACCTGTGCGAAAGCACAGACAAGGGGATATGCAAGGATGTTCAGAAAACAGCAAATATGTTCAGTGGGGCCAACGGAAAGCAAGGTTGAAAGGGCAGGTAGGGCCCAAAAGCTGAAAGGCGGATGTTGAGTACCGGGCTAAGTAGTCTGGGCTAAAGCCGCAGAGCCCACGGAGAACCATGTGAAGGGAATTTTGCATAAAAGCTACTTAAGGAAATATCAGTGGACAAAGAGCTGGCTTTGGGGTTAGTCAAACATCTCCCCCAGGGCGGCTGTGCAATCCTGGGCACATTCCTTACCCTGCACGCATTTTGCTTTCCTCATCTGCAAAGTGGGGAGGAGTGATGCCTACGCCTGGTGGCCGAGTGCAGCGTCCTGCTAATTGCTGGCCCAGAGCTGCCCACACGGTCAAGAACAGCAAGGCCCCACGAGCCTGTGAGAGATGGAGCAGCAGAGCAAGAGGCTGAGGATGAGAATGCCAGCCAGAGGCTGCTGACCCACCAGAGCCTGGGTCTGATTGGGCGGCAGACACTTGAGAGGAAGGGCAGATGAGGGTGTGGGTGTTTTCGGAAAAATAACAGAACTCTGTCGCGGCTAGATGAACAACAGCGTTGGGGAGGGGCGGCGGTCAAAGATCCTCTGAGGTCTCAGGGGTGGTCAGGACAGCAGCAGTGACAAAAACAGGGAAACTGCGCAGCTGGGGCCACTTCAGGGAGGAGACAGGCTGGTTTCAGGCAGGCCGAGGAGGGGGCGCGCCAGAGAGTACAGACCGACAGGGCCAACAGCAAGGAGAGGCGGTGGGCAGGCTGCCCAGGCTGCACGTGGAGCTGAGATTTAGACAGCTTTCAGTCTTTTTGTGAGGAATACGGGGCATATACTCTGGAGCCAGACTGCCCACACTTGAACCCCAGGTCCACTGCTGCAAGTGGGTGAACTTGGGTCGGAGCAAGTTGATTTCCCTGTACCTAAGTTTTCTCACCTGTAAAATGGCTTTTTTTTAAAAAAAAAGATTTTATTTATTTGAGAGAGAGAGAATGAGAGACAGAGAGCATGAGAGGGAGGAGGGTCAGAGGGAGAAGCAGGCTCCCTGCCGAGCAGGGAGCCCGATGCGGGACTCGATCCAGGGACTCCGGGATCATGACCTGAGCCGAAGGCAGTCGCTTAACCAACTGAGCCACCCAGGCGCCCCTGTAAAATGGCTTTGAGAGGACTGAATGAGTTGCTGCATATGAGACACCCACAAGAGTTCCTGTTGCAGAGTGCCCGATGCCTATTAGCCGCCGCTGCCCCCGCCCGCCCCGTCATCTCCATCACTGCTGTATCATCAAACAGAGATTTTCTGAGTTGGAACTACGACCACACCTGTCATCTCTGAAGCACAGAGCACAGTCATTAGAATCTAGTTGGCCTGGGTTAGCCCTCCAGCTCTGCCAAGTATTTGCTGTGTAACATGAGCTAGTTATTTGACCTAAGTATTGGTCTGCCTGTCTTTAAAAATAGGGTTCATAATCCTGTCTGGTGCTCCTGTGAAGATCTACAGAGAACCATACATGTAAAGCGCTCAGTTCAATGTCTGGTGCATAACGAGCACACAGTCAACTACAGTCACTGTTATGGAAGCTGAAGGCAGAAGACTCAAGCTTGGTCATCCCCACAGCCAAGGCGACCAGATGCGAATCCAATGAAACAGCGGGGGAGCGGCTGGAGAAAAAAGGAAAACTTCATGGGGCCTAAGGGAGAAGTCTCATTCGAGAAGGGGCCCCAGGGCAGGTCAGAGGATGAGGTCTGAGGACCGAGTGGAAATCGGATGGCGCCTTGCTACCAAGAATGCCTTTTTCATAGAGCGGAAAGGGCAAACATCAAATTATGGAGAGAAGCTGGAGTCTAGGGGCAGAAGTGAATGAAAGAGAGAGGCTGTCCCCGGGCGAAGGGGGTAATTATTGCATTAACTGCTGAAGGAGACGGGAAGTCAGGACAGAGGACACGGGTAGAGCAGTCAGGATGGGGAGAAGAAGGAGCACCCCTGACACAGGACAGCAGCAGGCACAAGGGATGGGCCACAGAGTAGACTGAAGCACACGGAGACAAAAGCCACCCTCGCTCCCCCACCAGCCAGGGGCGCCAACGTCTCTTCATTTGGGTCAGAAGAATGGATTTTGTCCCGGTGTGTGGTCCCAAACCTGCTCCATGCCGCGAGTGTGTGGACGGCGGCAGAAGTCAGAGGACAGGCTGAACTGTCGAGGACCGCTGCTAGGGTGAAACTGTGGCATTTTAGGAAAGCGAGGCCCAGCTTCTTTCCCCAACCCGAAGTTCACGTACTCGAATGTCTGCGTGTTGTGTGAATACGTTCAAGTAAAACCCTTTTAATGGAATGGCAGCTTTATGCATAGAACACCCCTCTTAAAATCATATTTTCACACAAAGATTGAGTTTGGGATGTGGCAAGGACTAAGCAAAATGCTGTAGACTTTGAGTTCATGCACATGCAGAGCAAAAAAAAATATTTTTTGTGGTTGGGATCAACATGTATTGCCCAATTTCAATGTTTCTTTTATTTATTTATTAAAATTTTATTTCTTTGAGAGAGTGAGAGAGAGAGAGAGAGAGAAGCATACAAGCAGGGGCAGAGGGAGAGGGAGAAGAAGACTGCCCCGCTGAGCAGAGAGCCCGATGTGGGACTCGATTCCAGGACCCCGGGACCATGACCTGAGCCGAAGGCAGACACTTAACCGACTGAGCCACCCAGGTGCCCCGCAATTTCAATTTTTTAAACTAAGGACATAAGAAAATACTCTAACATCTACTTCCACCATCATCTCATAAAGGAAAAAAAATTTAATAAAAATAAGTTAGGCCCAATATCTTCACAAAATAACTTAAAAAATTAAATCAATGTAGCATTATCAAATACTTGCTATGCTATCCTTGTTTTCTCAGTTTTGAAGGTCAAAGGAAAACTAGCTCCTAGAATGGACATGGTCCATGGCCGTTTGGACCAAAATGCTCGGGCTAATTATGAGGGAGCAGCAAAGTTTCTAGAGAGTAAGAGGCTCAGCGACGGCAGGGTGAGGACATTGTGTCTAAGTTCAGAATATTTAACAACGGACACAGAGTGCAACACCAGTAACAGGGAACTGTGGAGAGCAGGTGCCACATCATTGATCGGCTTATTGTGGGCCGTCAGGAGACACACACTTATTCAAGGGCAAGATGAAGCAGCAGGAGAGGCAGCTGGAGAAGGGGCCCGGCAACAGTGGAGATCCAGCGTGGGGGCGCTCTGGGGGCTGCGCTTGGCCTTGAGATCCCCCGCCCGCAGGGCCTGGGGAGTGGGGGGCTCATGAAGAAAGAAGGGAGCAGGTGGTGAGGTGAGCCGGCAGGGCAGAAGGGGGTGCAGGGCAGGGGAAGGGTGGAAGCAGCCGCAGCAGGGGTAAGGGTGCGGGAGAAGGCATAGGTAGGAGGCAGCTGGGGTCACGGGAAGGGGCAGGGTCTGGTGTGGAACAGTAAGAAGAAGGAAAGATGGAGGCTCGAGGAGGCTGGAGGGGGCGAGGTGCAGCGGCCACGATTCACTGCTCTCCTTTCTGTTTCGTCCGTCGGCTTCTCCTGGGAGCCCAGCGGGGGCGAGAACTAACCTTCGGCACACCTGTCCATTTCTTCCGAGTCCTGTAACCAGGCTGCCACTTTGCTCTGGCCCGTCGTGCAGGTTGCAGGGAGGCTGTTGCTGCATGGCAAAGGGGACTGCCACGGAAAGCTGTTTGGTGGCACCTACAATGAACAAAGGGGAGTGTACGGGTGAGCAGAAACAGTATATTTAAGTGAGTTTTAAAATTTGTATTAAAAAGTGACATCAGAAAAGAGAGGAAGAAAGGGCACACTCGAAATACAAAAGAAGCCTCTAGGCTAAACTTGTCCATGCTCAGCAAAGCCCAAGTTCATAAAGAGTAACACTCATTAAGCGGCTATCTCCACTATGCAAGGAAGGGGACAACACTTAAGTATGGGATAGCTCATACTCTTAAGGGCCTGCCAGCTCGAGGGGTTTAAGTTGCTCAGTGGGTTGTATCTGACATAGGGTCCTTATGCTACTTTTAACTCATGATTGAAGGCCTTTCCTTCCCAAAAGCTCTCTGTTCCCTTACTGTCAGCTCAAGGCCCCGTCAGCCACATGTGATTCCTAAATACGTTACCCACCATCAAGCAACCTTGCAATGCTTTAAATGCATATTAAAAATTGTAATATATAAAAAGGCATTCTCAGCAAATTATTATTACCCACAGCTGACAGACTTTCCAGTAAAGGGAATTTATGTGAAATAAAGTTGCAGGAGGTAAGGAGATAATGCAGTGAGTTCAGTGAACACTTAGTTGAAAGAGCAGAAGCTTACTTCTGAAAAAGCTGAAACAACTTTAAAACTCCATATTTGGCTTTCATATTCAATTATAATTGATCGTGTCTATTCTAAATCATCACGAAGCGAATGATACACATATTTAGCAAACCCAGACTTATTTATTACCCATGCAAGGCCACAAACCAATTAGCATTCAGGAGTCTCATAATTTCATACTTAGAATGCAAGGCAAGGGATAAAAAGCTCTCTTCACTCTTTATTGCATTTTGCGAAATGTAATGGAAATCTTTCACCAAGTTTGATCTTAGAGGTGTGTCATTCATAACTACAGCAATAGATCTTCTACGAAAACCAGAGTTGAAGGGCTTTCCTATTCCAAGGCAAACAGTGGGGAGGAATTGGTTTCAGTTCTCCATTCTCTTTGGCTATCACCCAGGTTATTTAATAAATAATAAAAGGGATGAAAATAATGTATCTTTTATCAATAGTCTATGCCCAAGATGCAGGCAGAAGCAGAACCAAAGGATGAAACATTCCTATTTTTAAAATATCTATCTGGGATATATTTCTTATTTAGCTGGGACAAATCCTGGGATTCATTCTATTCTGTGGCGAGAACACAGGGGGCCCAGAGAAACCAGAGGACGATCTTAGTCATCTTGTGTTGGGTCCCTCAGTAAGTGCCCTATTTCCTACCCTCTGACCTCCTGGTTCCTCCTTTTTCACTTCAGAACTGGTTAGTATTAGGGCTAAACCAATACCCTGTTCCTAGGAGGAGGACGTTCGTTGAATAATCCTTGGCAAGGCTATAACCAGAATGAAATAAGGTTTGAGAGCCTTGCAAAATACAATTAATGGGATTTAACAAAAATTACTTAAGTAACTTCCATTGAAATACTAAATAGTAAATACAGTAGTATTTCATTTAATCTGATTTGACTTATCTTGCAGATTCCATGAGGTTTTTCAATGTTATGCTAAGGAAACTTGGAAATACATATATCCCTAAGTAAGAAAACAGAGATAAGCAGAATCTTCACCAAGAGGTTCTTAAACCCATCTCCTGATGGCAGCCAGTTATTCACAGATGTCTGTGTTCTCAGTGTGTCAGGTGCCAAGTGGGAGCTTGGGGAACACCCCTGGGCACCGCAATGTGGCTATGGTTTGGAAAACTTAACTACTGAAACAACAGTCCCCCTGCCTCTTGTCTTCACCTTGGTTTTTAACAGGCAACACCTCTAGCTTTTTAGCCGCATAAAAAGATGAACTCTTAATACAGCCCAAAGAACAACTTCAGCCTCCCTTAATCTGGGACCTGGTATAATGGGAAGGGCATGGATTTTGGAAACAGAGAGATGAGGATTCAGATTCTGGCTTGGCTGTTTAATGGCCATGTCACTTCTGAAAACATTTTTTTTTTTTTTTTACACTATCTCTGAGCTTGGGCTATATTAAAGATTAGAGATGAGTGAATGTCAAATGCTTAACACAGTGCCTAGTCATTTAAATGGTCTACTATGTATATTATGGTCACATTCTCTAGCCAATTTACCTTAACTTCATGGGGAAATTCAATGGTCTCTCTCTGGGTCATGTATATATTATAGTTCAAGGCAAGGAAGCAAGTTTCATTTTTAAAACTTTGTGGTCTCGAGGGTATAGATCAGGGGTAGAGCATTTGACTGCATTTTTAAAACTTTGTGGTCTTATTATTACGACCCAGGAAGATACCAATTTCTAGGTGCTGCTTAGCCAAATGTTCACTCTACATCCTAATACCCCTACAAAGTCATATAAAATTAGGATGTAGTCCATTCATAGGAAGGAAAAGTAACTGTTAATTCTCTTGGTGATCCACATTTCTACCTAATCTATACTTGTGATTAACTCTGATGCCCAATGTCACTACTGTCTTGAGAGCATACCTTCCCAAGCAATTTCTGGGCTGATTTTCATATAACAAAGTCATACCTTTCCATCCACAACAGAAACGTTAGCAGCTGGTGAGGATTCAGCTGTGGAGGTTGAAGGAAATATGTGAAAACTAGCATCTCTTGGTGACCTGACAATTTCATTCTGCCGATATAATCGATGATGACGCAGTTTGGAGACCCATGCATCAAACCAGTCCTGGGATTTCACCTAAAACAAAAAACAAAAGGGGATCCTAAGGGTGAAACCCATCTCTGGTTTACCACTGACACAGGCAAGTGAATTCCCCTGATAGTGGCAGAGAAACTGTTCTCTATTCTCAAACTACTGAAAAATGACTTTACCTTCAAATGATAGATGTGCTCTTCTGTGTCAAGGTCTATTCTCCGAGCTTTCTTTTTAATTGACATGACCGAGAGTCCGACATCGATGCTTCCATGGACCTTCCCCTTTTGAATCTGAAGTCAGAAGACTAGTAAATAGGCTAGAAGGATATAGGATTTTCTGTGTTTCTGTACTGAAGTGAGTGTAATGTAATCTTTACTTTATCTATGGGAGATGGACTACCACACCTCCTTTACAAAGAGAATATGATTAAGGTCCTTAATCTGAGGACAGCTGAATTTGCTGTGACTTCCCACCAATTTCAATAAATAAGACTATTCATTTCTTTTTTTTTTTTTAAGTTTACTTGTTTTTAGGAATCTTTACACCCAATGTGGGGCTTGAACTCACGACCCCAAGATCAAGAGTCACTTGCCCTACCAACTGAGCCAGCCAGGTGCCCCAAGACTATTTGTTTCTTAGTCCTGTTTCTGGCATAATTTATAATGCTAACCTTCATAATTCTAGATTGCACAGCTTATATCCCAAAAAAAGATATGTTTAGTGGTTCCTAAAATAACTACGGTCAAGCTTTGACCCACAACCCAGAACATCCCCCAAGTAATCAGCCAGAAGCCAGCTGCTGAGGCCAAGCTGGGCAGTGGGGACTGAGAGCACAGAGTAACCAGTGCTTCCTCTGCTTGCCCTTGTCTGATCAAGGACACACCGCTGATTCGATGAAAGAGGTGGGGACAAAACAGAAACCTGAGTTATTTCCCTCTGCCACACTGACAAGGCAGGTGGCATCTTCCAGTTTTACATGCAAACAACTACTTCTTCAAGAAAAATAATTTGCAATGATGTTAGTGAGTTAGGATTCCCAAGAGAAAAGGATGCATGAAACAGAAATGAAGTTCGTAAGTTTTAAAAGGATACAGATAAGAACAAAGGTTGCTTTCAATCTCAAAAAAAAAAAAGAAAAAGCACAGAAAGCATAGCTTATTGAGAGATGCAGGAAAAAAAGTCTATTTGGGTTTTCTCTCCAAGACAGAAGGGGTCATTTTATTAGTGTATCACTTGTAGGTTTAACCTTCTGTTCTTAACGACATCCATCACAATCGCTAAATTAAATCTTCATGCTCCAGTTAGAGATTTTTATGCTAGCATGAGCATAAGCATAAAACACACCTTGCCCGGAACATCGAAGTCTGGTAGCTTGTTACATCTTACAGGCACACAAATGCACAAAGCTGGTAACTACGTCACAAGGCTTGCACAACAGTGGTGTTTACTCACTTTAAAACTATCTTTGAAACATGTCCTGCGTGCTACTTACATCAAGTGGTGCCTTTGAATACTTTAACATTCCATTATCCAGGACAAAAAAACGCTGCAAGAACCAAACAAACCCCAGTTACCGTGTGCATTTTGGATTACATAAAACATTCACAAGTGTGTGTTTAACGTCGCTTGGCATTTAGCAATCGGTATTCAGGTATTTGAATTCGGTGCACCTGGTCATCAACAGTCACGTTAAATGGTCAGGAAATCTGAGCTTGAATTCCATTTCAACAGCCTACTAGCATTCTTTTACACACAATCCAATGGGAATGCAATCTTTCACCACCCTTTTCCCTGTAGGGAGTGGGGTTGGTATCCACAGCCAGGACTTTCTGAATGAATCACACTGGGGTGTTTTTGAAAGCAAGAAATGAGAATAACTCGGTTGGGGTCACAGTGATTCTGTGAGGAGCTTCTCTAGAGGGACTTTTTCACCCTGAATGTAAACTCCTACATTTCCCTGGATACCATGGAAAATGCATGAAAATGCTCAAGTCTGTTACAGGAGTCAGTGAACTCTACCTATGAATAATGAATTATCTGGGAAGTTTAAGAAGGAGCTTTGCATCTCCATTTCGCAAAATGCTTACATTTCACCATTAGTAAAAGAGATTAAAAATTGTTTCTGAATTACTTTAAGGGCAAAAAGGAGAAAAAAAAAAGAGTTTTGGCAGTTTTTGTCTCCTCCAAGATGCTCCTGGTCCAGTCCAAATGAATCTAGCCATCATTGCTTCACAAACACTCAGGAACCCTCTGCTGGTTTCCTTTCCATGGGCAATTCACATGGGAACAAACAGCCCTCAGGACCCAATCGAACAATGGGTCCAATGCCCTCCTATAGTCTCTACAGATGCAAGAAGTCTTTCTATTACTGGAAAATTACTCTGCTGGGAAGGTTTTATGTGATTTGGGAATACTCAGTGGCCTCGGTGGCAGGTGGTCAGGCTCGGGTATACTCTGCACAGAACGCACAGAAGGCCATGAAAACCCCTTCAACAAAGGTCCTAGGGGCAACAAGTAAGCACTGAAAGAAAGCATCTCCATAGTTGAAAAACACCTGATTGCTCAATAACCCATGACTTGGGCAATCAAATATGCTGATGCTTGAATAAATACCTGATAACGTTAGAGACCGGGAGAAAAGGCAATGCAGGTGAGAACCTCCTACTATTTACATAGAAAAATGCTCAAAGGCATGGCCCAGAAAGAGTGGCTGTTGAACCACAGCCAGTTTTGCCGAGATGTGAATGTGAGAATGCTAAATTAAAGTTAGCGATTCATAGAACATTGGTTTCTTTGACTTCTTTTTTCTACTTTTCTATTTCTACCTATCAAAGAATGTTAGCAGGGATAATCTATTGTGTGATCACAGAGGAAGAGATTAGCAAGGCCACTGATTCGAGGAAGTGCAAAGTGGTGAGGCCAGAATGAAAGGCAAAAGGTGATTCTGGGAAGGAGTATGGCCAGTTGGCCAAAATCCAAGGAAGAACAAGGGTCGAAAGAAATTCCTAGTATTGGGATAATACTAGGGGTTCAGGGGAGACTGAGGATGCTCTGACAAGTGAGAAGGAATACTAGTGAGAAGCCTCTTGGATCTGTTTTTATTTCACCCTCAGAGACAGGGGAGTGGGGCAACATTTCCTGTCCATTAATTTTAAGTATATCCCTTAAATTGCAAAAAATGTATTTCCCAAGGATCCTAATCCATAATGTCCCTGCTTTGGGCCACTGGACAGCCACTACCCAGCCATTTGGACACCAACAGATCCATCTGCTCTGAGATGAAATCCAATGGTAAATGTGTCAAGCAGATGAGCCTGTTCTTCCAGTGATTTCAGAGAAGGTACTGGTGGTCTATCAAAGGGCTTACATTGAAAATGGAGGACAATTTTCTCCTTCTTAGCATTACAGTATTCTCCTTACTTAGGTAATTGTAACAGTGTAGTACAAAATATTTTCTCCATAATTAAAACTGGAAGATGGAGAAAGGATGTGGGGTAGGGGAGAGCAAAATAAATCACATACTTTCAAGGGCAGTAAACAGACTTCCAAGATCAGTAATTTTGCATCTTTAGTTTGCACTGGTAACAATAATTCCAAGACTTTATCCCAAATACTTAAATAGAAATTTGTGTATGAGGATGTTCATCACAATATCATAATAGTAAAAAAATCAGACATATCTTCCATGTCCAGCAATAGGGAATTGGTTCAATAATGGTGGAACATCTAATAAAAATCCATCCAATAGAACATATGCAGGCATTTAAAAACATCTTATTTCAGAGAATATTTAATAAGCACATATTCATGTTATTATTTTTTTTAATATTCATATTATTTTTAAATGAAAAAAGCAGAGTAGACAACATGTACAAGCTGGACTTTAAATATCATGTAAAATATGGTTTCCCTACATACAGATATTACAGATCTCAGACTTAAATAGGTATAATAGGTTGAAGCCCATATGGTTAAAAAAAAAAAAGGCTGTGAAAATTAGTTTTACACATGCAACCTTACTCTTCGATTTCCACCTAATGACATCAAATAAGATCCTCTCCCTGACGCAGATGATCTGAAGATGAACACGATGAAAATGGTACCTTGTGCCAGCCTTTTAAAGGCCATTTTCTTTTCTTCAGCATAAAGCCTTCGTGTTTGTCTGGTCTCTGGACATTGGTTTGGCCTATTTTCAGCCCTTCTATAATTTCCCAGCTGTCAGCTTCCTGAGAGAAAAGAAGAAAAACAAATCACATGTTTCTCAGTGTTTGATGACACAGTCAAAGTGGACTCTTAAGTAGAACCTGCCTTTGAAGCAATACTGGACACATCAGAAATACGAACCACATTCTGGAGCAAAGTCTCACATTCGACACAGTGTTGTGCTGATAAGTGAAATGAGTTTCCAGGTAGACCTGGATGCACACAGGTCCATCGGAGATGGTTGGGCACTGGACTTCAGGGCAGAATGGAGTTTTGATGGCATGTACTCGGAAGGTTTAAAATGCATTTTTCCAGGGCGCCTGGGTGGCTCAGTTGGTTAAGCGACTGCCTTCGGCTCAGGTCATGATCCTGGAGTCCTGGGATCGAGTCCCGCATCGGGCTCCCTGCTCGGCAGGGAGCCTGCTTCTCCCTCTGACCCTCCCCCCTCTCATGTGCTCTCTCTCATTCTCTCTCTCAAATAAATAAATAAAATCTTTAAAAATAAATAAATAAATAAATAAATAAAAATAAAATGCATTTTTCCAGACAGTTCATCTCTGGGCACCACGGCACTTGAACGTTTTAAAGGAAGGCTGTTTTGGTGACAAATGTTCAATTAGTGCGGAGCCCTGGCCTTCTGTGTAAAATGGAAAGGCCGCAGTGTTCTGAGTGGTCCATCACCTACTGCACTAAACGCAGTGCTGTGGGCTGCATGCGTTTCAGAGCGCACGGGACATGCCCTGCTTGCCTCGCGACACCCAGTAGTTCATGCTCCGGAAGACACATATCCCGAGAAACACACACCCTTGGGAGCCCACAGAAAGAGCATGGGATTTCAAGGCCAGAAATCTGGATGGATCCTAGAGGCTACACGATCACCCTCCTCTGTTAAAAACAGACCAAATCATGGTTTCTTCTTTTATAAGAAGACACACGTTCCGTGTGTCTATGATGTCTGATTTTTTTCATGAGTTGTCAACATTTAAAAGTCAGAAGATTTCAGATGTAAAAAAATCTGAATTTCGAGTGTTTTGTTAAAGTCTGTAAGATCTGGCAGCACTGGGCCTGCCCTGAGGGAAGGGTGCCCAGAAATCGTCAGTTTGCCACAGTCCCCTGTGGGCCCACCTCCATGTTAGATACCTGGCCCCTAGCAACATCCCAGTTTTCAAATCCCTGGACCAGGTGATACTAAAGGGCCTGTGCAGCTCCAAAGTAACGGCTGACCTGACCAACACTGATATTCTAGAGCTCAGGCATGTGGCACAATGAAGCAGGCGAGGCGGAAGCAACGAGGTCACGTCCCACGCACAACGGCTACAACCCCTCCCACGGCGCGGGGAGGCACAATCTCTCGGGGTAAGTGCTCTGTTGGCTCAGCTTCAGAAGGCTGGATGCAGCTCCACAGATGAGGGCAGGCCTCTCTGCAGAATGCCCCAGCCCAAAGGGGCTTGCGAAATTGCCTTCCGAAGAGATACGTTCTATCAGGAACCGCCCTTCAATCACGGAACAGAGGCTTCAAGAGGAATGGCTGGTGGGGTCCACCCCAGGGCAGAGGGACTTGCTGGCGCAAAGGTCTAGGGGGCGGCCGCCCAGAGCCTGCTGAAGGGCCGTGAGGCTCTGACAAGGCCCAGAGGCAGAGGTGCCACGATCAGTCACTGATGCTGGCCCTGGGGACTGGAAGGGAGAGGCTAACGTATTGACCCTCCATTCCCCTTTTCCTTTTTCCCTCCTTCCATCCCAGGAGCTGCTTGCCCCCTATGGCCAAATCACATCTCTTTTAAGGTCAAGTACGTATAAATGGGGGTGTGTTTTTTCTTTTTTTTTTTTTTAAAGATTTTATTTATTTATTTGACAGAGAGAGACACAGCCAGAGAGCGAACACAAGCAGGGGGAGTGGGAGAGGGAGAAGCAGCCTTCCCGCTGAGCAGGACTCTGGGATCATGACCTGAGCCAAAGGCAGCTGCTTAACGACTGAGCCACCCAGGCGCCCCAAGGGGGGGGTGTTTTTTCACAGTAAGTTATGTTTCTAGGAGATGCAGCCGAGCATTGCTTCATTCTAGCATCACTAAGCCTAGGAGATACTCCTGGCTTATAAAAAGCCCTCTCAGCCAACATTGTGCCTCTGTCCTTCCAAATCCAACTCTAAATGCCCCCCACTGGACAAGAAAAATCAATCTGAGACCAGTGCCATTTCTTTGTCTACTTGGTCATCCATGAGGAGGGGTCCCCAGTGAATGAGATATTTACCTTACAAAAACACACCTACTGGTATCCATTTACCAACATTAAGAACTCTTTACAGTATCTGTAAGTGTCCCCTTACAAACAGCCCAAGAAGTAATCTTCTATTTGAAGATAATACTATCAGGAACTGTGACTGAACGGGTCAAAATTGTTAATTAGATACAGTAATTTTTTTTTTTTTTAAGAGACAGCGAGCATGAGCTGGGGGAAGAGGCAAAGGGAAATGGAGAGAATCCCAAGTAGGCTCCATGCCCATGCATAGAGCCCGATGCGAAGCTTGATCTCATGACCCTGAGATCATGACCTGAGCCAAACTCACGAGTCGGATGCTTAACAGACTGAGTCACTTAGGCCCCCCTAAATACAATAATTAAAAAAAAAAGTTTCTGATGAGACAATTTCAGGCTGTATACCATGTTTTTTTTAAAAAAAAGCTTTTTTTTTTTTTTTTTAAAGATTTATTTATTCATTTGAGAGAGCAAGAATGAGAGAGAGTACATGAGAGGGGGGAGGGTCAGAGGGAGAAGCAGGCTCCTCGCTGAGCAGGGAGCCTGATGTGGGACTCGATCCCGGGACTCCGGGATCATGACCTGAGCCGAAGGCAGTCGCTTAACCAACGGAGCCACCCAGGCGCCCTGTATACCATGTTTTTTGAACAATACAAGTACCGGTGGCATTATGGTCTGGAGCACAAAGTGAGGTGCTCTGATATTCCCATTTTAAAATACTGATCTACAATTCAACAAATAAGCGTTGCTTACGAATGTTAGAATAATCAGAGAAAACACTAGATTCTACTATCACCAGGAGAGTGGACTAAAATTTTCATAAAAATGATGGATTTTTACTTACTTTTTAAAAGTTTGATACAGTCAAGTAATAAAAGAATAACTCTCCATATATGTGTAAATATATTCATTAGAGCTTTCTCTGTTCTTAGATAGCAGCTGTATTTAATGACATTTCTATTTTTAGTAGCCTTATCCATAGATAGCATCTCTAGAATAACATTTTCATTTTCAGCTAGATCTTATTTGAAGGCTAGTGTTCATCTTTGATTTATTCTGTGTGTGTATATATGATGTGTATATATAAGTGATGTGTGTGTGTATACACAGGATGTGCCTGTGTACCTATGATATATATATATATGATGTGGTGTGTGTGTGTGTATATTTATATATGTATATATATATATATATGAATACCCTGGATAACTTGTAAAAATGGAAATATTTAATAATAAGTACAGTGCTTTTGGGATTTTTTTCTAATTAAACTCAGACACAATACTAGCTTATTCCTGAAGCGCTATGGCTACTGATTTCTATCACAGTAGTTTTTTCTTAGTTTAACTAACAGAGGAAGAAAAAAAAGGGATAAGATAGAAAAGGTGAAAAATTAAAATGTATTTCTTAAACATAAATGCAGTAGTTCCGAACAAATAACTCCATTTACTCTGATCCAATGTTACTAAAGCCAAAAGAAACTGAAAAGAATCCTAATACAGTTCTTACAGTTAAATAAGCTGTCAAACTGACAAAGAGGCAACAAGGTAAATCCAGAACAAACAACATCCTCCCTATTTCAGTTATAAATGCTGATGATGTTATAAATAAGGTGTGTAAGATATGAATACAGCCCATCTCAGTGCTTAATATGACCCACCTCTATGCTTAGTAGACTAGGTCTACCTTAAGAAAGTTAAAGTCACTTTCTGAAAACTGAAGAATTTTTTTTGTAATTTCAACTGATACTCATTTTCTGTTTTAAAGTCTCTAATTTTCAGGGTGCCTGGGTGGCTCAGTCGTTAAGCGTCTGCCTTCGGCTCAGGTCATGGTCCCAGCGTCCTGGGATCGAGCCCCGCATTGGGCTCCCTGCTCCGCGGGAAGCCTGCTTCTCCCTCTCCTACTCCCCCTGCTTGTGTTCCTTCTCTTGCTGTGTCTCTCTCTGTCAAATAAATAAATAAATAAAATCTTAAAAAAAAAAAAAGTCTCTAATTTTCGTTGGTTTACTTATAATAGAAACAGAGTCAAAAGCCCTAATGTGATCATATTGGAACTTGAGTCAGATATACAAACATTTTTGCTGTTCTAGAAATTTTAAATACACTTTTTACCTAATAATAATAACTAAAAACAGAAAGTAATCCGATAACAGTCTGCTCATTTGAGACATTTCCTTTCTCCAGGGTATACTCTAGATGCATGAATGCTGGGGGCGGGGGTGGGGCGGTCTGGGAACATGCTTCGGGAGGTGAAAACACCGAACAAAGAATTTCAACAAATCCTGAGTCAGGACATTGTGTACTTCAAACAATGTTCTTCCACCACCAACTGGTGCCCAAGAAGTCCGTCTTCTCTCAAAGGGACTGAGAGATGGTGAGATGCCATGGTATCTGGGATGGATGGGATCCTCTGATTTCAGGAGGCCCCGAGAGATGTGGTATCTATTAGGACAAAAACCACCACAAGAGTAGTAGTCCTCTAGCAGGATCCACGCGGGTAACAGCACGGAGGAGTAGTGGGAGGTGGATGCTGTTGGCACCCGACCCAGGCGCCCGTATCAGGCCAGTGGATCCTTGCCCCAGCCGCCTGAGCACTGCGGAAGCTCCCTCCTTCCCCGGTGAACTGCTGCCTGCTGAAGCTGGGGCCTCCGCGCCTGCGGACGGGTCTCCCTCCTCCACAGCTGCAGCATCCCCACCTCAGCCTCTCCCTCCCTCAAGACTCTCACCTACTGAAGGACCCAAGAGTACAAACAGCCGAAGGAACAAAAAGTCCCTGCCTCAGGGTGAGAGCCACTCTGTGGTACAATTCATGCTCCGGGGCTCACCCTGGGAGCAGGCTCAAGGGGGGACTCCAGCCCAAACTCCTTCTTGCCAGCACCGCACTGCCCTAACCTCTGCTCTTATCCTTGCTCCTGAGGGCTCTCCCTCAATGAATCACAACCACCCTACGCCCAGTCCTCCTTCTAGAGGACCTGATGTAAGAAAGAATGTAAGATAAAGTAAGAGATGTCAAGTACAGGGACAGGCTGGGGCGGAGGGTGGGTCGGGGCTGGGAGGTGAGGAGCAGCATTTGCAGAAGGATTCCTGTGGGCCCGACTTAGGAGAGTAGGAGTTTTAGCTAGGTGCAGGAGAGCACTCCAGAAGGAACAGACATGCCGCCGTGGAGGAGAGAAAGAGCACGGCCAGGGCAGAGAACTGTGTGCAGACGCATGTAGCTGGAGTAGAAAGTGAGATGTCAAGGACGCTAGAGATGCACTTGGTGGGAGACGAGGAACCAAAGCAAGTCTTGTGTGCATTTGCTCTTTATTATTATTCTTGTACTTACTAGATCGCCAGTTTATCATAAAAGGACATAACTCAGGAATAGCCAGGTGGAAAGGATGCAGAGGGCAAGCTCTGGGCACAGGGTGTGGAGCTTCCGTGCCCTCTGCAGGGGCGCCAATTCCCCAGGGCCTCCCCGTGTTCGACAACCAGGAAGTTCCTCCTGATTTGTGCTTTGAATACCAGCAACTCTCCTTTCTGTTTCTGTGTGTCAGTCTTAGAGGTCTCCTCTCACCGTGTATCTCTCACCATCCTGGTCTCTGGCACACACCTCCCGGCTGTCTGACTCTGGACAACTAACTTATGCTCCAAGTCTCAGTTTTCCTTATCAGTAAAATGAGAAGAACATCAGTAGTCACTTCATTGAGGAGGCTGATGTGAGAGAATATCTGTACTGATGCAATGCCTGGGACAAAGTAGGTGCTCAAGAAATGTTAGCTGCTTCTTCCACTGCCCCAGTATTTATTTTTCCTCTCTCTCCACTAGCTGCTTGTAAGAGAGAACTGATGTTTTCAAAGAGATTACTAGTTGTAGTTACCAAGTAGGCATTCTCTCTGTTTGCCATTCAAATAGAAATCAGATTATTTTCTCTTTCTCTCTGCATTATTAAGTTTGATAACCCCTTTCCTTAGTTTTACAGTCTACTCCTGTCCAATAACACAAACTTTATAGCTTGCAATATCTTTCAACTATGAAGAGTACAAGCATATATATTCCATACCATAAAGTGTGTTCTTTCCTTAAAGGATTCTATTTAATATAGGAAAAGCAGAGTGGAAGAATCAGTGATACATATTTCAAAGCATTTTTGGGGGAAATAAAGTGCTATTTTTATATTTGCATTCCAAATCCCCATGCATTCTATTTTCTGAGTTTCTCCATAGGAGAAGCAGCCCGCTGAAAATGCAGGGAGTCGAGCAAAGGGTAGGGATGAGTAGGATGGCATCTCCTCAACTTTTCTTTATGATTTTTTGCATTTGAGACATAAATGAATTTAGATGTGTCCCCAGTCCAAGGAAGAGAAGGCTGAAGGGAAGGAACGCTGGTTTCCATTAAACTGAAGAGGTTTTCATGGGTAGTCTGTAGTGTTCTCCTCGGAGCTCAGAGTGAGGAAGGCCAGATGGGAGGGGAAGACTGGGACTCTGAATGTCCAACAACCCCTCCAGGCAGGTGCTACTGGACCTGCAGGTGGGGTAGAACTGAAACAGTCTAAGTCTGAATCCCTGCCCTGCTACTTAGCAGCTTTTTCAGACTTTGAGCAAGTTCTTAATTCTCGGTTTCCGTATTTTTTTTTTTTTAAGATTTTATTTATTTGACAGAGAGAGACACAGTGAGAGAGGAGCACAAGCAGGGGGAGTGGGAGAGGGAGAAGCAGGCTTCCCGCCAAGCAGGGAGCCTGATGTGGGGCTCGATCCCAGGACTCTGGGATCATGACCTGAGCCGAAGGCAGACGCTTAATGACTGAGTCACCCAGGCGCCCCTCGGTTTCCGTATTTGTAAACGTAATAGATACCTACAGCGCATGGAGCTGTTAGCAAGGGTTCTGTTAAATGGGATCATGTATTTAAGCACCTGGCACCGTGCCTGGAACACAGTGCACAGGCAATCATGGTGGCCGTTGCTGCTATTGTTAGTATTGTGATTTTTTTGCTGGACCCAGTGATTTTTTTTATATTAGCTTGATGTAGAAATAGTAGCTCATGTCTCCAACAGGAGAATGACAATGGTTTCTCTTCCTCTAAACCAAAAGAGTATTTTGGATCTTTGTAGTCCTGCAATTCCCAGCAAAATATACTTTCATCTATTCCTCCCTTATCCCGGGCAGAGAAAGCCTACATACTGGAGGCGGAAAGACGTGGCAGCGCAGGCCTACGAGAGGAATCACAGCGACCCCAGGGGAGTCAGGTGGAAGGCCTGTTTACAGTTCCGCTGGCCGCCGAACAGGCATCATGCTATCCGAGAAAGCACCACATCCCGTCACTGACCTTGGAGAGGGGGACCGGCTCTGGTTCGAGCAACTGCCGACTGACAGAGGGCTCGGTGCTGGAGGAAGCAGTCCTCTCCAGTACGTGGATACTCTGAAAACACATGGAAATACAGCCCAGGATTAGACAACCCAGTTTTCATGCAGATGGACCTGGGGGGTGAGACCACACAAATCACAGTAAGAACAGTGAGCCATGTTAACCATGGCAAGTTCCTGAGGAGACCAAAGGCAGCAATAACAGTCAGAAAAATGTCAGCACAGGATTTGGCTTTCCCCCCTTAGGCATTTGCTGCTGCTGTACTGGTTTCAGCTCTGAGAAAAGGTCAGAGATCACACAGATTTAAAAAACCACAGAGCATGTCTCAACATATTTATACCTTTATGAGAATGCAATCTACCGCTCAGACAATTAGCCTTACATACAAATTTTTGCTTAGCTCTCCAAGGGCAACAGACAAAAAGGAAAGTCTGTATCCAAAAAGCCCAGAGCCTTAATACCACTTAAGTCTCTAGAGTTTCTTATAACCCTTATGAAATAATTATAATTGTAATATTTTGTAATAACTTTTAAATGCACAGAGAAGAAAACAATTCATCAAATACAATAAACAGCAGATGTGTTTTACAGACTATAAAAAGCAGTAAGATAACATGCCGACCGAAAAATAGGCAAAGTACATGAACAGGCAACTCATGCAGAACACACACACACACACGTGTGTGTGTGTGTGTATACATATATATACACACACATACATACACACACACAATGGAGTATTACTCAGCCATAAAAAAAAAAAATGAAATCTTGCCATTTGTAACAACATGGATGGAACTAGAGGGTATTATGCTAAGCAAAATAAGTCAACAGAGAAAAGCAATTATCATATGATCTCACTCCTATGTGGAATTTAAGAAACAAAAGAGAGGAGCATAGGGGCAGGGAGGAAAAAATGTTAGACTAAATCAGAGAGGAAGACAAACCATAAGAGACTCTCAATCTCAGGAAACAGACTGAGGGTTGCTGGAGTGGAGGAGGGGTGGGAGGGATGGGGTAACTGGGTGATGGACATTAAGGAGGGCGTGTGATATAATGAGCCCTGGGTGTTATGTAAGGTTGATGAGTCACTGACCTCTACCTCTGAAACTAATAATATACTATATGTTAATTAATTGAATTTAGATTTAAAAGAATGAAAAAAAGGGGAAAAAAAAAAAAGAGTTCCTTACCCCACATAATGCATGATTTATTTCTGGGAAAAGGAAACACACTAACCCAGAAATATTCCATGAAATGAACTGCCTGGTAAATTTGTTGGGGGAAAAAAAAACCCTTTTTACAGAGTTATTAAATAGAAAACCAAAAGAAGTTTTATTCTAAAGTCAGTATTGACTAAAATCAAATCATCATGGTACAGTGTGGGGTAATGCAGAAAATGTCAATTGGGGCAGGTGGTAGGGAAGTAGAATTATCTCTGGCATCTTTTCCAAACTACACATATCATCCCACACATAGATTCTGATGGGCCCCCAGGGAAAATCTCCCACCTTCTCACCCCAGATAGGAACACTGCTATTGATGGGCAGGAATCATCAGATTTGCTGAGTGAGAAACGGATGAGAAATGAGCAAAATCAGGTAAACCACTGGCCTACAGTCAGATGAAACGAGAACTGAACTTGGGTTCTGACACATACTAAGTACTTGTTTGGGGCTATTATTTAATTTCTCTCCGCATCTATTTCCTTGTCTTCTGGAAAAGGAGAGAATAGTAAGAGCTACCTTATGAGTTTAATGTAAACATTAAGTGAGATATATGATAATGATATTAAATAAATGTTAGTGGATTCTGAATTATGTTGTGCCATTTATATCTATGATATTTTATCGAATAAATATGTCAGACTCTATCTACTGTTTTCATTTTACCTTAAAAAAAAAAAAAAAGCAAAGGCATCTTACGGAGGGAAAAACTGGTAGTGTGTGCTCAGATCTTTAACAGACAAAAAGGGAACAAAGGCCCGGGAACTTGCATTATTTGTTTGCTCATGTTGGTATTTTGGATAGGATCCTATTAGAAACACATCAGCTAAATTTAAAATTTAGATGTATTCTGAGATCATATAATTAGAAACTAAAATGAGAATTTTATTGCTGTTGAAACTAAAACATTATTACCTTCTTCTGGGAGGTAATCGTCCCTCCTCCCAACTTTCATTTTCTTTCTTATGTTTTATTTATTATTATTATTTTTTATTTATCTGAGAGAGAATGGGAGACAGAGAGCATGAGAGGGGGAGGATCAGAGGGAGAAGCAGACTCCCCGCTGAGCAGGGAGTCCGATGCGGGACTTGATCCCGGGACTCCAGGATCATGACCTGAGCCGAAGGCAGTTGCTTAACCAACTGAGCCACCCAGGCGCCCCTTCTTTCTTATGTTTTAAAATGACAAAACTAATATATGCTCATTATAAAAGATTCAAATACAACATAGAAAAATAGAAAAGGAAAGGTCAAACTTCCCAATCATCGTTCCAACCCCTAGCTTCTGGAGCAGTAACTCTCAAAAGGTAGCCCACAAACCAAAACCTCAATAAGGCTGAACCAATTTTTTTTTTTAAGATTTTATTATTATTTATTTGACAGAGAGAGACACAGCAAGATACGGAACACAAGCAGGGGGAGTGGGAGAGGGAGAAGCAGGCCTTCCGAGGAGCACGGAGCCAGACGCGGGGCTCGATCCCAGCGTCCTGGGATCATGACCTGAGCCGAAGGCCGACACCCAACGACTGAGCCACCCCGGTGCCCCATGGCTGAACCAATTTTTGTAAACCTGCATCTTAACCCTGGTTCCCTTTGGTTATCGATTTTACTTACTCTAAATCGTCCAGTGAAATATATTTGGCTCGAGCCTCTCTCTTTAAGGACCCTCCTCTACCCTCATCTTTGCAGGTGTGTTGGGCAATAAAACACATACACGATGCCTCCCTGGCCCCGCCCCCAACAAATACACATGGTAAGAAAAGCAAAACTTGGAAAGAAACTTGACCTTAGCAACTATAAGGCGGGAAATAAAGTATTAACCCAGGAATTTAGCCAGAGGAAGGAAACTAAATCCTCTAATTTCCAAACCAAGCCACAGACATGGAAGAGCAATTAAGGATATTTAAAGTGTGATAAAAATGAGTTTTGTGGGCGCCTGGGTGGCTCAGTTGGTTAAGCGACTGCCTTAGGCTCAGGTCATGATCCTGGAGTCCTGGGATCGAGTCCCGCATCGGGCTCCCTGCTCGGCGGGGAGTCTGCTTCTCCCTCTGACCTTCCTCCTTCTCATGCTCTCTGTCTCTCATTCTCTCTCTCTCAAATAAATAAATAAAATCTTAAAAAAAAAATGAGTTTTGTCTCTATAGATACCTGGGAATATTTAAAATGTTGCTAGGATTTTGTGAATCAGAAGGGTTAGTGACCAAACCAGGAAGAATCTACAAAATACCTCCTGCAGTATCTGTGACAAATAACACAATGTTAGTTTTTTTTCTACCTGGTTTTACAAAACAGTTTCTATTATAGAAGAAAAGAGGTTCATTTATTTCAAACATAGTACAATACAGCACACATTCAAGCTGAGTGAAAAATACAAGCTCCAAACGTTGATTTGCCAAGTCACAGATAATTATAAAAAGTTTACTAAGAAATTGTAAATAAATGTTTTCTTACCACAAATGTATGTATACATTTTACTAAAAAATTAAAGCATAATTGATAAAACTACCAGGTGATACTCATTATTATTGTCACTAGCTTCAAAAAATAAGCTATTTCATTTAACTTCTGTAATGATAATGAAGAAGCCAAAAGCTCTCATGCAAACTTGCGCAGTCTTACATTTGTATATTATTAGAACCTATCGCTGTCTATCCAATTATTTATTACCCAATCCTAAAAAATTAACCCACTACCTTACGAATTACCTTCACACTCATAGAGTTTAAAGCCAAAAGCATATCCCTGAGGTTATTTAATCCTACACATAACCATTCATTATTTGTTTTGATTGTTTTATTTGTTTTTGTTCTTTTTTAAGGGGGGAGGCAGGGGCAGAGAGAGAATCTTAAGCAGGCTCCACACCCAGCTGAGAGCCCAATGCGGGGCTTGAACTCACAACCCTGAGATCATGACCTAAGCCAAAACCAAGAGTTGGACACTTAACTGACTGAGCCACCTATTCATTATTTGTAATGAAACATCTAAATACTTGAATGTTCTATTTTCAATATTGGCAAATAAAAAGAAGACAGTTTTTAAACTTCACCATACTCAGTCTTGGACTCTAGTTAGATTGGGTGCTCCTTGAAGGCAGAGAGCAGCTCATCTTCACCTTGTTATCCCACCTCTTCTACTGCCAACCCACCCTTAGCACAAGACCCTGCACACTGTGGCCAGCCAAAAATTTCTGGAGTTTTTCAGTGAGCTCTGATTAATTTGTAGAGACCAGTCCCTTAGCAATCCTTGACACGATTAGGCATAAAACTGCCTTCTAGCTTCATACTGGAATTATAAAAAAAAAAAATCACAGCTCCAATGGGATAGAGCTTTTGAAAACATTTTAAAGAACTTAACTTTTAAAAGTGAAACAGCCAGTAGATTAACCACAGTGCTCTTGTTTGGTAGATTTAAAGCTAACGGCTGGGTCAAATCTAACGTGGCAACATCTTCAGTAACAAAACTGAATCCATTTCATAAGGTTTCCTTTACGATCATAATCAGTGCTATACTTTTGTGTATTTTTCTTCACAAGCTGGCTATTTTCATATTCTTTCACGGTGACATGGAAACATGCCAAATATCTTCAAGGTGTTATTACATATTATATAAGCAGGTTAAATAAAGGATTACATAAACTTGTAAATTATTCTTTTAAAATCAAGTTTCCTTTCAAATACTAAAATTACAACTTTTCAGGTCTGTGTATTTTTTGGTTTTTTCTCTAAGCCTTTTTTTTTTAGAGCAGTTTTACGTTCACAGCAAAACTGGGAGGAGATTTCAGAGACTTCCCATATACCACTGGTCCCCACATAGGCATAGTGTCCCCCAT